ACAGGATTCCGCCACACTCAGAGAGGCACGAAGCAGCACTTTAAGTCTAGGAGCACAGGAGTGACAAGGCCACAGTGAGAAGAGTCAGGGGACGGCCTCTGTGTGTTGTCACCCAACATCCGGATTCCTGCCTTTGGGGAATGAAAGATGCTGGCTCCAGGGGGCCCTGAATGGGAGTTCTGCTTTCCAGCTCCTGCAGCCCAAGACCATGCTGGGCCAGAAGTGGGGGTGCATGTGTGGGCCCTCCACCTGTACTGGGGGCCCCACTGGCCAACCATGGTGAGACACCACCATGGACCTGAGCTCAGGGTTGCTCTGCTGTTTGTAGCACCTCATCTGCTCTGCTCTGCCTCTCCATGGTCCTCTGGACTGTCCACATTTTTTGCTGTGAGCGGCTCTGTTTGGGGGCAGGAGTCCTCAGGCTCCGTGTGGGGAGCTGCAGCCAAGCCCAGTTTCAGATCACATTCTTAGGGAAAGCCTCACCCCATCCCTGAGTCTGGCCCCTGTAGGAACTGGTACTGTCCCCTAAACAGCCTTGTCCCCTGCATAGCCCCTCCAAATTTATGTCAGCAACACACCCTCAACCAGAAGAGTTCTCTCTGCTGGGACTTCATGGCTTGGTATGCCCCCCTCCCCAGCCTGCCTTCAGGGCTGTCTCCTCTGGGCAGTCTCTGCTGAACCCCAGCAAGGCTGAGGGGTGTCCCCTCCTGGCTCTGGCTCCAGCAGAGCAGACTGATGGCTTTTAAACCTAACCTATTTCATCAGGGTCCCAGCCTAACCCTAACCAAGCTCCGCCCTTGAAAGACTTACCTTAAGTCAGACTCTCCGATCCCAGGAGTACTGGGAGGGAGCTAGGGCAACCCATCCACAGGTTTTTTGGTGACATTTTGGGGAGTCAGCATTGGACAATACTCTAGGGGCATTTTAGAGTTTTGTGGACAGTGCCAATTTGTGCTCCAGGGGCTGTATCCCAAGACAGCACACAGAGGCCTTGTCACCCCTGTGCTCCTAGATTTGAAATGCTGCTTCACTGCTCTCTAATTCTGAAGCAAGATGCAGTCAGGGATGAGGACTTTCTGCTGGTGGCAGAAAAGGAAGATGGAAATTGAAGCCTAAGGAGGACCTGACACTCCGGTGCTGACTTGCAGGTGGAAGGGCCACAAAAGAAGGAGCAGGGGTGGCCCTGGAGCAGAGAATAGCCTCTGTGACACCAGCAAGGAAACAGGGGCATCAGTCCTACAACCACAAGGACCTAACTCCGCTCATACCTGAGTGAGGCTGGGCGAAGGTTCCTCTCCAGGGCCTGAAGATAAGAGTGCAGCTGGTCACACCTGGACCTCCACCTGTGACCCCGAGCAGAGAGTGCAGCCGAACCCACAGGGTAAGAAAGGACTGAGCTGTGCCGAATGTTGTTTTAAGCCACTGAGTGTTGGGTGATTTGTTACACAGCAATAAATCTAACGCCACTTGCAGGCTCTGATGAAGCCAGCTGCTGTGTTGAAGGGGCCACATGGCAAGGAACTGAGGACAGCCTCCACCAACAGACAGCGAGGCACAGAATCTGGCCAGCGCCATGCCAGTCTGGCAGCAGGCCCTCCCCTAGGGGAGCCTTGACGGGGTTATGGCCCAGCCAACACCCAGACCACCACCTAGGCGTGACCCTGGAGAAGAGCAGAGCTGTGTCCCAACTCCAACCACCAGAAACAGTGACACAACAAATGTGGGTGACACAGGACACTGTGGACCATGAACCTAAGCTGCCCATCCCACATTAGGTGCTGTCCAACCTACTGGGCTGTCAGCAGAAACTGCTGAGGGAGCAGAGGTGGCCTCTCTTCCCTCCTGCCCTCCCCCTACTCTGTCTCCGTGACAGAGTTGACTCTACGCCTCATCTGTAGAGAGGGATCTGGACAAGGTCCTGGAGTAGGGCTGCACAGCAGAGCTCTGGTGTGCTCAGAAAGGCAGTGGTGTGGGAGAGGGTGCAAGGCCAGCATCTGATCCCTGGATCATAGGTCAGGGGCAAGTTCTGGAGCGCAGATGCACCAGGGCGCCTGGCACTTCCCCAGTTTAGTAGCAGCATTGCTGTAGAGCCCGTGCCTGGACACCTCCCTCATTGTTATGGCAGCACTGAGTGCGAGAAAAGACCACTTTAGAAACCGAATTGAGTCAAATTGTGCGTCTTTATTTACTGGTCAGGACTACTTCTACCCTGCAGAGCGGCAGGCACAGAAAGAAGCCATGAGCTAGGAAAAGCAGCCCCTTTTTAAAGGCAAAAACCACACTCTAAAATCTAATTAGCAAGCACTTTTACAAAAGTGAGAGAGAGCATTAATCTTACATTTCTATCTTGTTTTAGCACAAATGTGGGGGTTTGGAGCCTTGAGATGGGTTTTGTAGGAGTCACCAGCTGCAGCTAAGATTCACCCGAGAGGAAGAAGCCTCTGATATAACCTAATTACGGACAACATTAATCTTTTTTTTTTTTTGAGACACAGTCTCACTTTGTTGCCCAGGCTAGAGTGAGTGCCGTGGCATCAACCTAGCTCACAGCAACCTCAATCTCCTGGGCTCAAGCGATCCTTCTGCCTCAGCCTCCCAAGTAGCTGGGACTACAGGCATGCACCACCGTGCCCAGCTAATTTTTTTTTTTTTTTTGTATATATACTTTTAGTTGGTCAATTAATTTATTTCTATTTTCAGTAGAGACAGGGTCTCACTCAGGCTGGTTTCGAACTTCTGACCTTGAGCAATCTGCCCACCTCAGCCTCCCAGAGTGCTAGGATTACAGGCGTGAGCCACCACATCTGGCCAACATTAATCTTAGTTGAAATATATTCTGCATTCTGTGATCTAAGCATGAGCGCATTTCACTAGGTCCATGAAGCATGTCAGGCGCCTCAAGGGTCCAAGGGCATTTCGACTCCAGACTAGCAGCTATATCTTGTGGGCAGTTGTGCCATGCACCACCACCCTTCTCTTTAGTTTCTAAACTTAATCATACTAGCAGAGGCTGGATGCCAGGTCCAGAGTCAGATAAGGGTCAGCTGAAATTTTTCCACTCTTCTAAGCAAGCAAGTAAGCATAATACAGAAGCTAATAGCTGATTATTGGCTATCTATGGTCCTTAGGCCCCAACACTCATCACAGGCTGAGTGTTTCCCGATCCTGGTCACAGACTGAGCCCTGATCCTGGTCACACACTGAGCTTTGATCCTGCTTACACACTGAGCACTGACCTAGAGGTTTCTGGAGGAACTGAGAAGGGAAGGGCGTGGGCCTCCCAGAACAGAGCCCTCTCAGACAAAGCCAGTCCAGACCCTGGCCAGGCTACATTCCTCCCCACCTCAAGCAGGTGGCTGTAACTTTGCAGAAAGGCTCTGCCTGGGCTTCCCTGGTGGGGGTCAGGCAGAAACTCTAGGAGGAGCTGAATGCCTAGGGGCCAGGCAGGTGTTACGTGTAGAAGGCATGGGCGGAACCCCTGGGTCTGAGGACAGGAAGAAGGTGGACCCTGCCATGGCAGAGGAATTAGGTCAGGCTTCAGGAGGAACCCAGGGTGTGTGTGGTGTGGCGTCTAATCCAGTTAGCTTCACCCAGAGTCAATGGTTAGTGGCATCGTGGCCGTGTGGTGACATGCAGAATCAGACAGGCTTGGGCTGCTACTTGGCCACCACCCAGGCCTCGCTAGGTGACCTTGCCTAAGTCAATTGGCTTCTTGGAACCCCAGAGCCTTTACCCAAACTAAAGTCAGTTAGCACCGCATACCTGCACGGCTGCAGTGAGGAAAATGAGATCGTTAGGCTAAATCTCTACACATGCTGAGTGCCAGGGGCTCCTAGCTGCCCACCCCCCCCCCGTTACCACCCACGTACCCTTGGCTCCCATCCAGCACTCGGGCAAACACAGGCTCTCCCAGTCATGAGGGGTAAAGATCAGATCCCAAATGGAGCTGACCCAGCAGGAAAGCTTAGGGTCCAAGAAAGGACCATGTTCCCAAAGACAGAATTTCAGCCACTGGAGGAGCAGGAGAGGGAAGGGTATTCCTGACAGTGGGGACAGTGGGAGCAAGGTCCAGGAAGGGAGTGAGATTTGGACACTTGGGCAGATGGCCAGAGCTACAGTGCGAGCCTGGGCACAGCCGGGTGAGACTGTAGCCTAGACCCTCAGGGAAGAGAAACCAGGTCCCTGTCAACACACCAGCCCCCTTCAACATACTCAGGCAGTGTGGGACTTGGAGGAGGGGGTGGCAGGATCACAGACCAGGCCCACCCTGAGAAGGCTGGAGCAGATACTTTGGGAGGATGTTCATGGGGGCGTGGGAAGCTGTGGCTGGACCTGCCCTGAGCCCCCAGACCCAAATTTACCTATATCCTGTCTGAGCCTTGGTCAAGGAATGTCACCTCAATTTCCTTACCTACAAGAAAGCTAGGTAAGCCCTGCCTGAGGCCAGCCTCATTACACTATTAGAAATCAAGGTGCCCAGCCAGCAGAGCCAGGGGACACAGGATAAGTGCCCCCAAGGCAACCCTAGCCCCTCCCTATCCACCCCCACCCTCCATCCAGGACTTTCTCTGTTGACCCAGCAATTTTCAGTATTTGTCTCCTTAAGCCTCTGAGCAAACTTTGTGGCTTGCTGTCCAGCAGCAATTCAGTCCCCCAAAGCCCCAGCCTGACCCCCTCAAAGGAGCTGGGAGGTGGAGCCAAGGTCATCTGGTAAGATTCTAGCCTGGAGCCATTGGACTAGGAGTCTGCCCAGGAGAAAGGAGGGGACCTGCGGGGGTGGGGATGGGGGGCCCTCCCAGGCCCTGTCTGGGTGGAAGAGAGATTGGGGAGGACCCCAAATGGGAAGGGGGTCCTGGAGGGACCATGGGAAAAGTTGGAGGGATCAGGAAGGGGCAGGGAGGAGGAGGACCAGCCTGAGTCAGGGAGAGAGGAGGCGGGACCAGGCAGGGAGCGGCCCCACCGGGCCTGGGGTGGGGTTTCCCCACCTCCACCTGGTAACTGGAGCCCACTAATCTGCTCAGCCAACCAGTTTGGGCACTTGGTGTCCGCTGTCCCTGCTGTCCCTGCCAGGCAGGCTCAGGGTGAACATGGAGCCAGCGGTTGGGACCACACTGGGGACCCGGCTAGCACTCCTGGCGCTGGTGCTGGCCGCCTGCGGGAAGCTCGGTGAGGCACGGGGCACGCGGGACAGCCTGGGCAGAGGGTACCCCAACCCACAGACATTCCCACACTGTCCCCAGGGAGGGCCCTTCAGGAGGGGGCCTCCGAGGTGAAGAAGACAGAGGGAGTGAGGGGTCCCAGGAGGGCGTGGCCCACCACTGGGTCTGAGAGGAGAGTTGGGTGGGAGGCAGGGGGCCCTGGCCGAAGTGCAGTGAGCAGAATGTGGCCTCCCAGATGGGAAGGGGGACAAGGCTGGCACGGCAGCGGATGGCGAGGAGGGAACGAAACCAGACAACAGGGTGGGGCCACCAGGCTCAGGTCTGAGAACAATTGGGACCATGACCTCAACTCAAAGGGTCCCCATGCTCAACAAGGAAAGGAGCTTGGTCCAGTGGGCCTGAGCCAGGCATTTCTGCCTATTTCGCAGAGGGAGAAACTGAAGTTAACCAGAAAGGGGCAGAGGCCCCAGGCAGCTCACATGAGGGGGGTGGAAGAGCCTGTGGCCTCACTGTGCAGGGGGCTGCTAGGGCCAATTAGCGACAGCCAGACCCGCTGGGCTCCTGTGGCTGGGGCCAAGGAAACTAGGGCAGGAGCGAAGTAGACTCACTTCCAGCCCCAGCAGCCTGCACCCCCTGGGGAGAGGACACCTTTTGTTAAACAGGCACCCGTGGGCACACCAGACATGCCAGCCCACCCTGCACCTACCTCCTGGCCTGATGCCTGAATCCCCACGCAGCCCTTCCCTGGAGGGAACCAAGGGGTGACCTACTCCTACCCATGCCTGAGACCCACCCAGCCTTGGTACCTTTCTCCATTGCCAATGCCTCAGTCTCTCTGTGCCTTCCAGACACTTCCAAAACTGCGTCATCTGCCCTGGCCTGTGGGCTGAGCCCATCTCCCCAGTGGCCTGACCCCAGGGCCAAGCTCATGGCATCTTCCTTGAGTTTTGGCCAGTGGGCAAGGGGACCCTGGCAAGTGTCCTTGTCCCCCTCAGAGCTGGGCCTCCAGGGCAGGGCTGAGGACCACCTGGCAGACTGTCCCTAATCACTTCCCTCCCAGCACTGGCTCTGAAGTGCTACACCTGTCAGGAGCTCACGAGTGTGTCCAGCTGCATCAGCATCGCCACCTGCAACGCTAATGAAACCATGTGCAAGACCACATTCTACTCCCTGGAGACCGGTCAGTAGGCACCAGTGGGGTGGGGTTGGGGTCCCAGGTTGGAGCCACCTCTGGGCCAGGCACCACCAGCCAGCTCAACCCTTGGGCACAGTGGGCAGCCACCTTGTACTCATTCCCAAAATAGGCTTTCTGTCCAAGCAATAAGGTCTCCCTCTCTCCTTTCCTTCTTCCCCCGGTCCTGTCCCTTCCTTTACAGCTGCCAGTATCAGTCCCTGGCCTGTTAGGAAATAGGCCACATATCACTGCCTGAGCTTGGCACCACCTCCCCCCCACCCACAACACCCCATCCTCTCTCTGCGGTCCATGGAAAAACTGTCTTCCATGAAACCAGGCCCTGGTACCAAAAAGTTTGGGGACCGCTGCTTTAATGGGAACATATCTACAACCTTACTTGGGGGGATCACTGGCTTGGTTCCACCATCCACATTAGGGCAGGAACTGTCTCATAAGGTGAGAAATGCTGGTGCGGGACACCAGGTGTGTCCCTGGCATGTAGCAGGCACTCGGTCATTGAGCCAGGAAGGACTGAGACCCGGATGGGCAGTTCCAGAGGGGTTTCTGCCCAAGGGGACCCTGTGGCAGCAGCTGGGTGGCAATAAAGGACCACCCTAACAGCTGACTCCTCCTGGATTTGCAGTGTACCCCTTCCTGGGGGACTCCACGGTGACCAAGTCCTGTGCCAGCAAGTGTGAGCCCTCGGATGTGGATGGCATCGGCCAGACGAGGCCAGTGTCCTGCTGCAACACAGAGCTCTGCAATGTGGACGGGGCATCTGCCCTGGATGGTTCCTGTGGCCTCGCCTTGGCCCTGGCCCTGACGCTTATCCCCCTCTTGAGGCTCTGACTCTAGACCACTCCCACCCCCACTGTCCCCCCCCCCGGCCACCCAGCCCCAAATTCCCTGAAGAAGCCATGCCTGAACCAAGCCTCCTGGGACTCCTTTCTGGGCAGGGCTGCGTCTCTGGCTCTGTCCCTGTCCCTTATGTCTGTCTCTCTTCCTGTCTCCCCATCATGTGGTTTAAGCTCTATAGTAAGGACGGTCACTGGGCCTGGGACACAAACCAGGCAGATCTCTGCCCTTCCGGCCCTTAGGGACTACTCAGTGGAGCACCCTGCTGCCCACCTCTCCAGACCCTGAGCAGGGCCGCACCCTAAGGCTGCTTCGAGGAGGCCGTGGGCAGGAGTCCAGCAAGATCACCGCCTGCCTTCTCCAGGGCCACCCACACATCCAGTCCCTGCCCCTGCTCTCCCCAAGCCCCACTCTGGGGTGGGGATGTCAGGTGTCCAGGGCAGCCACAAGCTCCAGTGCAGAGGGGCTTTAATTTCACCTTCGCTTGGAATCAGCACCCGAGTCCTCTAGGCTAACCCCCCCCCAGTCCTCTGCCCCACAGGCCTCCAGGCTGACGCAGCAGTCACATGCAAGTGGACACACACACATGCACACACACACAATCAGTCCTAAAAACACAGAATGAGGGTCCACCCCGTGCCAGCCCCTCCCCAGGGATGCCCAAGGGAGGTGGGGACAGGAGATAGGTCCTAGCCTGAGCAGAGAACTGGGCAGGGCCCCCTTGTTCACCCTGGGACCTGCCCCCTGGCCCTGGGCCTGCTCCCTAGGGCAGGACTCCCATGGCCCAGTGAGCCCCACTGGTCCTGGAGTGCAGTCAACCACACAGCGGAGCCACCATCTATCAGAGAGGCCCTGAGGTGGAATGAGGGCAGCCTTCCAGAGTGGGGGGTGACTGGGAACCTGGAAATGTTCGAGTGCTATTTTGGATGCCCCATCTGGGGCTGTGACCCTGATCTTTGACTTTGTCAAGAGGGAACCATGGCTCTCAGCCATCATGTCATACCTTTCACCTGGATTTTCTCATGTCTCCCATAAAAGTGAGGAGTGGTAGGGTCACTTGGCCTCAAAGCCTGGGCTGAGGTTCAGTACACACACACATACACACCCTACAAATACCCATGTACCCCACAAACTCCCACAGAGACTGGGAACCATCTGTGACCAGAGAGCAGGGCTCAGCCTCTGATCAGGAACAGGGCTCAGTCTATGACCAGGGATCAGGGATCAGTCTGAAACCAAGGCTTAGGGTTCAATATGTGACCAGGGTCAAGGCTCAGTATGTTACTGGGGAAAGGGTTCAGTCCATGACAGGGAAAGGGTTCAGTTCATGCCCAAGCACAGGCTATGAGTGAGGCCCAATGCAAGCCTTAGAACCCTACCTTTGACCTTGACCTCATTAGTTATGAGGCCACCTTTTGGGTATCTGTCCTGGTCCTGAGGCTCCCTATGGCCTGAGTCCTTCAGGCAGCGGGGAGGAGAGGCAGAAGGTGAGCCGCTGGGGCAGGGACCCAGCCAAGCCAGGGCCCCACCAGTGTAGCAGCCTGCACAGTTCCACAGCCTGTAGGAGCTGGACAGTGCAAGATGTGGCGTGGTGGGGAAGGGAGGAGCTAGTGACCCCAGATTTGGGCTGGAAGAGGAGACAGGAGCAGGTAGGGAAGGGAAGGAGCTGGATTCCATGTCTGGTGGCACAGGCCACCCTGCCCCTAGCTGGCTGCTCCTCTCTGTGGGGGTTTGTGGTGACCAGGATTGCAGATCTGTCCCATAAGGGCAGGAGCTGCTCTGAGAGGGAGTGAGCTCCGTATCCCCAGGAGTGTCCAAGTCTGTGCTAACTAAGCTCCATCAGAGAGGCTACAAGGGCATTTGTACCCTCAGGAGTGGTCACACTGAGCGCCAGGACAGAGTCTATGCTGGGCCACAGACAACACCCATCCTGGGTCTCCTTGGAAGAAACGACATTAGTCACCCATCCACCCACCCACCCATCCCTCTCTCCATCCACCCACCCATCTATCCATCCATCGAGCAAACCCTGCTCAACAGTGAGCATGGCCAGGCCCAGGCTATGGGAGGCTCACAGAAATGGAGACATGTTTCTCCACGGGAGGAGGAGGTAACAGTCTGGCAGCCCCTCAGGCCAGGCCAGGCCAGGCGGGCACCAGCCACCAAGGCTGGGGCAGGGCTTTGCCTGCATCCTGAAGGGAATGAAGAAACCGGGAGGTTTCTGGGAAGAGCAGTGGTGAGGTACAGTGTGCATTTTAGCCAGTCCCTTGGAGTGGAGGGTGGAGGGTGTGGCCAAGGGGGAGGAACCAGCCCCCAGAACATAGACGGCCCGACCTGACAGACGTGGCCTGCTAGGTGGGCAGGTACAGGCAGGGGCCATGGGTCCATCTTGGATAATGGGTGAGGGCCATTCAGGTGGCCTGGCCAGGCCTGGAGAGGGGCCTTGGAGGTTCCTCTCTGTCCTCCCCTGACTGAGATGGGCAGGCAACGGGAGGGAGGATGCAAGGGCACCGCACTGGAGTCTCTGCCGGCTGCTGCTGACAGTCTTGCAAAGCCCAGACAGTTTTCACATACAGCCCCGCATTTCAACTGTCCAGCAGCCCCAAGGGATAGGAGTGACCAGTGTACCACTCACAGATTGGCCGCTGAGGCTGGTACAGGGGTGAGGCCAACCCAGATGAGCACTCCAAGGCTCGAGGAGCTGCGCTGCCCCCAAGGTCACACACTACCCTTGACGGGGCTCAGAACCTGGTCTCCTGGTTCCACATGTGGGGCCACCAGGAAAGGCATGGATTCACCAAGAGGAAGGAGGAGAGGAGGGCAGTCACTCAACTAGGGCATAAATCCTGTCCTGCCCAGTCGTGTCTGGCCCAGGCATGGTGCTGCTTTCCCACCTGCCAATGGGTGCTGGGCACAGGGATGGGCCAGGGTGGTGCCCACTCTGCCCGGAGGAAGGCTATGTGTGCCCCTCTCCTGGCTGGAGCATCCTCTCAGGTCTTCCTTCCCTTTCAAAGCCAGGGCAAGAGGCATCTTTCCAGGCAGCCACAGCCGACAGCATGCCAGCACGTCCATGGACAGGGCCCACAGCTGCACAGCTCGCTGGCATGCCCGCCCCACCTGTGCTCAGGTACCCCTGCACTGTGATCTGCATTGGGCTGAAAGCCTTATGGAGAGACCCATCCTTATCCCAGCACTTGCTAGTTTTCACAGCCATCCTGCAGGACAGATGTTCCTCTGCCCAGTTTGCAGATGATAGAAAGGGGCACAGAGTGCCTTGAGCAGGCTTGGGTAACACGGGAGCTTGGGTGGAGCTGAGACCAGGCTCCAGAACTGGACAGTCCATGGCACCTCTTGCAATGTCTGGGTGTGTCTGCAGACCAAGCCCTGGGAAGGAGCCGCTCCCGCTGCTGTCTGCACGCCTCCCGAGAGCACAGCCCCATTGTTTGATTTGCAGTAACCATGGTCTCGCCCTTTGCAAACTATGCCCTCCGCTTGCTTTCTTGCAACCATCCTGTCTTGTACAACTGGCCTCAGCCCACACAAGACCAGGTCACTTTTGCAATCTACAAACAGGAAACCAAAGTCTAGAGGGACAAAGGGGCCACCCCAAGGCCACACATAGAGAAAGCAGCAAGGCCAAGACCAAAACTATATCCTCCTAGATGGGTGCCAGCCCAGAGCTCCTTCCAGCAGCCTGTTCGGCCTCAGCAGGGCCTATGCACCATGTGCCTGCCTAGCCAACTTGTCTAGCCACCCATCCCTCCATCCCTGGATTCTGCCATCCCTTCATTCCTCTCTCCACCATCCACACTCTCAAACATCATCCATCCAACCACCCATCCATCTATCCACCCTTCATCCATCCACCCATTCATCTGTCCATCCACCTATCTACCCAACATCCATCCATCTATCCCTCCAACCATCTGTCCACCCACCCACTCATTCATACCTCCAACCATTCATCTATCCACCCATCCATCCATCCCTCCATCCCCCATCCATCTATCCATCCACACACAACCCATTAGGACCTTGCAGAACAGGGGGACCAGAGAGGCTGGCATACTGGGAAGGGCTGTGGAGCAGCAGCACCTGGCTGGGCCTCACAGCATGGGGAGATGTGAGGCATTAGGTAGGTGACCAGATGGTGTGATCTCTGGGAGACACAGGTGGGCAAAGCAGTGGGATGAACAGTGTGCATGGGAAGCGCCATGAAGCTCAAACAAGACTGTCAGGCCAGGAGCATGGGCAGAGCCCTGTTGTCAGGGGCCCACAACTGAGAAACTCAGGCTTAATCTAAAGGCTATTAGCAGAGAAGGAGCTAGCAGTGCTGAGGGGCCAGTCCTGGGCCCATACCTGTCATTCCAAGAGGGACCTGGCTGGCCACACCACCCTCAACTGACACTGCCCATACTTCACCAGGCCCTTACCCTTTTCCACATGGCCCCTACTTTGCGGGCATGTGTATCAGGTGTACACGAGGCAGAAGGGGTCTGGGTATGGAGGACAGTGACCTTGGCCCTTGGCCAGCCAAATGGGGCTGTAGTTCCTAAGTGGCCTCCCTGCTAGGCCAGGCCAGGCTGTAGGGAAGGAGCACCATGCAGGGCCTGGACAACAAGGGCCAAGGCCACCCAGGGCCTGGGACTTCAGGGCCCCCAAGACTGGAGCTGCGTGACCTATGTGAACCTCCAGGGCAGAGCCAGGATGTGGGGGCTCATCAGAGAGTCAGTCTGAGCTCGGTGGGAAGGGTCTTCTCAGTCAGAGCTGTCCCAGGACAACAGGGTATGTCTGGGGAGGGGTGAGTTCCCCAAACTGAAGGTGCGCTTGCAGAGGGCAGGGCCATGGTCCTCAGACTGGGGCTCCCAGGCCCCACCTCCCCAGGGCTGGTGAGTGATGATGGCTCAGGTGGCCGCCTGCCATGGTCCTGCCGGTTGCCTCCCCTGTGACACCCTACTGACTCATGGGCCAGCTCCCGCCCCAACCAAGGGCCAGTGTCCAAGGGGCCAGGTGAGTATAAATCTCAACGTGAGGCCAGCCACCTCTTCCAGCTCCCAAGCACAGAGGAATGGCCTCGTGCTGGGCTGTGCAGCTGCTGCTCATGGCAGCCTGGAGTGTGGGCTATGGTGAGTGGGCCAGATGTGGCTGGTGAGGGACCCTGCCTCTGGGCCTTGTGCCTACCTCCCAGAGAGGACAGGGCTACTGGGGGGCTCTGTGGCTGAAGGCCTCCTCAGGGCCCCACTGGCTCACCTCCTTACTCTCAATGAGACTTCTGGGTTCTAGAGCCCAGCTTCAGCCTGGGATGGGGTAATGGCCCCATTCTCCAGGAAGGGAGACTGAGGCTCAGTAGAGGGATGCACTGTTCAAGTCTGTCAGTCAGCCAGAGGGCCCTGAAGAGTCCCAGTTAGTCTCCTTCAGCCGCTTCCTTCCAGTTCCAGGATGGGTTTTGAGGCCAGGTGATGAGGGTCTGCCCCAATCCCTTGCCCAGGTGAGGCCTTCAGGTGCTACACCTGTGAGCATCCCACAGCCATTTCTTCATGCAAGAACATCACTTACTGCAAGCCGGAGGACACAGCCTGCAAGACCGAGCTGGTGACCGTGGAGTCGGGTGAGGCGGGGTCCCACGGCAGGCCTGGGGTGTGCAGGGGTCAGGGCCACCTCCCCCAAATGCCTCCCTCACCCTGCAGTTGCTCCTCTGGGCCTGAGAGGCAGTGGGTGGGAAAGACAGGGTGGGCTTCCCCACCTTAGAGGGGGCCATGCAGCTGAGGGGGGGTGCACAGCCCCTCAGGGACCCACCTTGGGGTACTAGGCACTGGGAAGTGGGTGGGGCAGAAGCAGAGGTCCCTCATGGAGCCCAAGCCCCAGCTCTGCCAGACTGGCAGGTGATGTTGCCTCAGCCTCTGGGCTTGGGCTCTGTCTGGGGCCAGCGCTGCAGACGCATGAAGGGCTGGGTCACTATCCACGAATGTGTCACAGTTGGGGCAGGGGGTGCTAGGCATGGAGGACTCCCCAGACCTGAGCCCTGAGGAATGGGGATGGCAGCGAAGGGTTGGAGACAGCACACAGGGCCAGCAGGGCTACAGCTCTGACACCGGCCACCCTGCAGAGTTCCCCTTCAACCAGAGCCCTGTGGTGAGCCGCTCCTGCTCCACCTCCTGCATCGCCACAGACCCCGACAGCATCGGAGCCGCCCACCCCATCTTCTGCTGCTTCCGTGACCTCTGCAACTCGTGAGGGCAGCGGCTGGGAAGGCACTCTGCGGGCGCCTCCTCTCCTGACGGCCTTGCTCTGCCTGCGGTGCCCTCTGCCCACAAGCCTCCGTGGGCAGAGCTCACTGGGCCTCAGGCCACTCATGGGACCTGAGGGGAGAGAAGCACACCAGGGGTGCTCTCTATCTTCCATCCCTCAAACTTCTAGAAAATAAATAAGCCAAGGGTGGAAACGACTGCTGGCCTTTCTGGGTACGAGGAACACACAGAGCTGGTGTCACAACAGCCAGGCTGAGTCGAGGCATGTTTCAGGCACCTGACACTGGCTCTAATCCAGGGCCATTTGAACCCATTTCACAGACAGGGAAACAGAGGCTTGGGGGGGGGTAAGCCTCCTGGGCTGTCCTTCCTACAAACTAACCTCACAACCTCTCAGACCAGGACCTATACCTAAGCCCAAGGAAAATCTCCTTTTCCTTCAGAAATCCCCACTCAAACCCTGGAGCTATCACCTACAAATCAGAGTGGAAAGGAAGCTCAGAGCTGGAATCCACTTTCCTCCAAGGATGGGTAGGTCTGGCTCTGCCCACCCAGCCCAAGGAAACTTCCCAGATGTGTGTATGTACCTTGGCCTGCTGGCACCACACAGCTCCACAGCCTCAGTCACCCCTCTGACAACCACCTGCTGTGCCCTTTGGCTGAGATTAGATGAGACTGTGGCTGGAGCTGCAGCACTCCCCAAGTGGGCATCTGGCCAGGGCTGCCCACCCCTCCCCCCAGGACTCAGTCCCAGAGGCCAGCCTCCGTTTGACAGGATGGAGGCAGCAGCACATCCTCAGGGGCCTTATGACCCAGGAGACCTTGCTTTTCAGCCCCTGCTGCCCCATTGTAGGGAGGGGGCAGCAGCAAGGTGCACAAGGCAGGTGTGGGGCTTGGGCCACCCCCTTTCCCGGCCCCAGTTCTTATCTGTGTCTTCTAGGTTGGGCATCTTCTGAGATATGCACTACGCCTTGGGTTTTAAGGCCCCACAGGTCACCTGACCATGACCCTGGGGTCCTGCTGGCACCTGCCACTGCTGGGGTGGGAGTGACATGCAGCATCAGTGGTCCAGCCGGCTTGGCAGACAGAGGTGCATAGGACCCCTGTAAGAGCTCATCCCTGTCCCTGAAGGGCCTAGGGGTCAGTACATACTCCCACCTTCATGCCCTCCCAGAAATGCCAGGAATTCACACCCTGAGGAACAGCCCCCAACCAGGGAGAGCTGCCAGAGAGGCCTCCTTTAAGGCGTCCCACCTAGGGCCCTCCTTGCTGGCTAACGCCACGCCTACAGGTCCCCAAGAGAGCCATTCCCCGGCATTACCGCCAGATTCCAGAGAGCCCCACTGGGCACTGGATTTGGAGCCAAGGGGCTTCTCTTGGCCCAGCATTTGCAGCAGAGCAAAGGATAACACCCTGGGCCCTTGGGAGGTGGGGTGGGAAGGCCAGCGCGGGACCGGCGCGGCCAGCAGAGGGCACACGCCAAGCCCTGGAGCCGGTGAGAGGAGCCTCTCACCGCACAGCCTCTGCCCTGCCTGGACATCCACTGCTAGCTGAGCCCAGTCTGGTCTGCAGGGTACCACTGGGAGCTCGGGAAGCTCTTGCCCCATGGGCTGGCCTTGAAGATGCCCTCCTGCCCTGCCGTTCCCCGCCACTCTCCCAGGAAACTCGACACGTGAAACTGGCGGAGGCACAGGTGGGACCAGGGAGGGCGCGCCCAAGGGCTGGGATAATGGGCTCTCACCACCTGGGGGACATGGGCGGCCTGAGGAAGGAGTGGACACCACACCTTGTGACCGTGCTGGACGTGGGGAAAGCTGAAGGGAAAACAGAGTTGTAAACAGATGTGGGTGTGGGGGCAGAGAGAAGATGCCCACCTAGCCCCCCCCCAGTAGCGCAGTGGTGCTGGCCTGCTGTCCCAGCTGCTCTGGAGGCCCAGGCAGGAGGATCGCTTGAGCCCAGGAGTTGGAGGCTGCAGTGAACCGTGAATGCACCACTGCACTCCAGGTTGGGTGACAGTGAGACCCTGTCTCTAAAAAACCAACTAAACCAAACCTCTCTGACTTCCTAGAGGGGTAAAAGGATCAAGCATTACTCTTCTGTTGCTTTAAGAAATCACATAAACAAGGGGAATGTAGAACGCTGGGCTATTGCCCTCCAGGCCCTCAGGGGCAGGACCCTCAGCCTCCCCAAGGGTGTCCCCAACTTGCAGGTGTTGAGTGGGGAAGTCAGACAGGATGGGCTGTCATGACAAATCAGCACTTTTGGTCAGACTCACGGAGCCACCTGACCATGTTGGAAACTCTGCCCTAGCCTCAGTTTCCTTGTCCAGGAGGGCAATGGTCCCACTGTCCAGGGATTCCAAGGAGCCAGGCAGTGCTGCACTCTATTCAGCAAGCCTTGGAAGTGGGAGTCTGCATCCCTGGGCCCTCAGGGGACACAGCAGTGACCAGCCAGCCAACTGAGCCCAGGAGGCAGGCACTCCAGCCAGGAATGCAACAGGCAGCTGGCCTAATGTGGGCCCAGGGACACCAGGGTTGCCTCCGAGACCCCACCAAGGCAGCCTGGGCTCTGTCCACCTGGCCCTCAGAGCACACACTGCCCTCTCCCTTAGGGCGACAGTCCCTGAGTACTGCATCCCCAAGCCCCTCACTGCTTCACCATCACCCACTGAGGGCCTCCTGAGTCTGACCAAAAGTGCTGATTTGTCATGACAGCCCATCCTGTCTGACTTCCCCACTCAACACCTGCACCTGGACACTGTACAGACCCCAGACACCACAGGGGGTGGGGCGCCTGGAGTGGCATCATTCCTGCAGCTGTCAGCCCAGGGGAGGCACAAGGAGGGATACCAGGGGCCACCCTGTGCACGGGCCAAAGCAGTCACTTTTCTCTAACTTCTCAGGGCAGCAGGCCTGTGGGATGAGTGGGTTCCACTGGAAGAATAAGGCACTGTTTCATTTCCAAGTCCCAGCCACCCAATTCCCTGACCCAGGCCAGTCCCATTGCGAGGGATCAATGCCCCCTAGTCAGCAGGGCCCCTCCTCCACTCCGTGGTTGGTCCAGCCTACAAACATAAAGGCCAGGAGAGCCCCATTGGCCTTAAACCCTCTGCCAAGCTGGCCCATGAGAGCCTGGCATGTTTGTTCAGCCCCTGCATGGACAGTAAAGCCCCAGGGGCCTTCAGGGTGTGGCCCCCTCAGCCATCTTCATGCCCCCAGCCATCCTGAACCACCCCCTAACACACACACTCATTCTTAGTCCAGGCTGGAACTCCTTGCCCAGGCAGATGTGCCCTTCCACAGCTGAGGGACAACTCCTGAGCCAGGGACCTACAGGAACATTGTCACATGGTGCCACACAAGGACCAGATGCCCCATCCTGCAGCCTCCACCCTTCTCTCAGGTCCCAGCCAGCCATGCAGGGCTGCTGGCTGGACCAGCCTGTACCTGAACCAACTGTACGCCCACTACTTCCTGTCTGGAGTCCCCTGGGAAACTTGTCCTCTGGCAAGACTCAGCTCAGGGGCCCCAGGAGTGGAGCAGAGGCTTTGGTCCTGGCCGCAGCTGACTTGGCAACCCCAGTGAGTCACTTCCCCTCTCCAGCTCTACTTCCCAATCACTGACACCTGTTTCAAATCCAGCTCCTGCCAATCGCCCATTCCTTCCCTGGTCCTTGGGGCTTGCTGAACTCTTCGGGGCTGGTGGCCAGAACACATATATGGTCCACACCCCCTCACTTGCTGTGTCCAGGGATCCTACATTTCCCTTCCCTCTTCAAAGGGCCTGCAGAACAGCCCCTCTGCTCTCTGCCCACCCCACCCATCCAAAGCCCATTGACCTCAGCTCCCAACTGCCCCCCACCCTGCCCCCCAACTCCAAGAGCCTGGTGCCCAGGCCCAGACTCTGGCGCACGACCTCCCAGGGTGATCCTGGGACTCAAAGGAAGAAAACTGGAAATCTGCACCGGGCATCTGTGGATGGAGGCAGCAAGGCTCAAGGGTGGCAGTCCAGGAGAGGGCCCGGGCAGGAAGTGCCAGCAGGGGCCTTTGGGCAACCCCTTCCTAGTCTCAGTCCCGTGTTCTGTGGGATACGGACAAGTCCTGCCCTGCCAGCCTGATCCCTAAGTTCATGGAATCTGACAAGCCTGGACAGCCCCCCACACCAGAAAACACATCCTGGGAATGGCCCCCGTGGGGAAGGGATCAGAGCTTCAGAAAGGAGGGCCTTCCCCACACTTGCACTTGAAACCCTTTAATCTTGCACTTTCTTTAAATAAAACAAAAACATTGCAGCGCTCCCACAGTGGCTTTAAGGCAAGAACAGCAGCAGTGTGGGGTCGGGGTGGGTGGTATCAGGGGCGTCCCTACAGCTCCTGGCTCTGACTCAAGGGGGATTCTGGGGCTGGGCAGCAAGGAGGTAGTTCTGGGTCGGCTGGTGGGGGCAGGGGCACAGGGCCTAAGCAGGCAAGCAGCAAGCCCCACACCCACCCCAGGCCCCAGCACCCCAGCCAGACAGGGTACCCTCTCTCTGGAAGCTGAGGGCATTGGCCAGAGCCTCTGGCTGGGGACCAGCCCCCACTGTGCCCTCAGTTTCCCCAGCTGTTAAGGCCAGGGATTAGGCAGGAGCAGGCAGCCCTGGCCAACATTCCAGCAGCCTGGTGTCCCTATCAGGTGCCAGGACAGACCACTAGAGCAAGACAGGGCATGGCTCGACAGCAGGGAAGAGGCCTGTAAAACAGAAGGCAGAGAGGCCAGGAAAACCCAGCCTTCTAGGGAGGCAGCCCTCACAGCAGGGAAGGGGGTCAGGCAGAGACGGCCCTCACGGGAGGACAGAGGCCTGGGGTGCTGCAGTCCGGACAGGGCAGCCCAGCCTGAGGTTACAAGCATGGCCCTGATGGGCACCTAGCCCTGCTCTGTTCTCTTTCTGACCAGGACACCCCAGCAGGGAGGCCTGCTGCCTCTTCTGGAGCCCTGTACCAGCTGACCCCTCCCATCCACAAGCCCTAGCTGCCTGCCTGGCCCTCTGGCCCAGAGGCCAGTGTCACCAGGGAAGCTTGGGTAACCTTGTCTGCTGTTGTCAAATGCTAGCCAATCTTCCCTCCTGCCCTTGGTCTGCCTCCAGCCCAGCCTCTGACCAACCAGACTCCACCCTGGTGATTGCTACCTCTACCCTTCAGATGTCCAGCTTGTGCCCAGGACTGCTCTGGCCTGGCCCTGCCCCGTCCCTCCTGGCAGTTCCAACCCAGATGTGCTCAGGCTGCTGTGCTCCTGGCACATCCTCCCCACCTAGGCCACAGAAGTGTGGCCTCGCTGCAGGGCTGGGCCAGGTCCCCCTGCCCATCCATCCCCACCCCAGGGGCAGAGCTGGGTCAGGGGGTCAATGCCACCCTATCCCCTGCCCAGCCCGGAGGGATGTCAGTAACTGGGGATCCCAGCGAGTGAAGGGGGCTGGGCAGGGGCCACTCCAGCATGGAGAGAGCCCAGCCCAGCCTGCTCTTTCTGCAGGACAGGCCATCAGATGGGCATGGAGGGCTAGGTGTGGAGGCAGCGGTCACTCGTCCTTGTTGACCTTGCGGAGCCCACTCTCGGCACAGAGCAGCTGGCTGCTGGCCATGTTGTAGGTGATCCAGTGTTGCAGGTCTTCAGGCAGCTCAGGGGACTCCACCTGCAGAAGACAAGAGGGTGAGGCTCCCATAGGTCACATGCTGCTATGGGAGTGAGCAGGGGCCCAGGAGGGGCACCCAGCCAGGTTGCTGCCTTCCACCTCTGGGTCTCTGCCCATGCTATTCCCCAGCCTGTGACCTCCCAAGAGTCCCCTCCCCACTGCCTGCCCCAGCCCCCTTCCCAGCCCCCGGTGCTTGTACTTCCATTGGAGCTCTCTCCACATGACCTTGCCTTTGCCAGGCCTGTCTCCCCAGTGGGGCCATGCTCAAGCCCTCTGTGTCCCCAGGCAAAAACCCCTGAGGCTGGCAGGTTGTAGGGGCTAATGGGAGACGCAGAGGAGCCAGACACCTCAGGAAGTGGGTGCAGGGGGAGAGGGTTGGAGAGAGATGGCATGGGAGCCACTCTCCCAGGAAAGTGCTGGATGGGGCTTGCAGAGAGTGCGCCAAGGGCATGGGACCTCATCTCCAGGGCAGCTCTGGGCCCGACCACTCCATTCCTAGCCCTCCCAGCTTGGCTGCACCAGCTGCCTCTTCCTGCACACACAGCCACAATTTGGTGATGGGAGCTACAGGCCTTGTAGATGGGTGTTGGGGACTTCCAGGATGAGGGGCGAGGCCAGGCAAATGCCTACCTGATCTCAGGGTCAGCGGCCACACAGAGGTGCTTAGAGCTGGAGCCTGGGCCTTCCCTGCAGAAGGGCTGGGATCAGGGAGGAGGAGCTGCCCAGCCCCCATGGCAAGTCCTAGCAGAGCAGGGCCTGAGCTCTGCACCAACGTCTGGCTCCAGCCCAGCTCTCCCTCCCTTGCTTCCACGCCCCAGGCTAGCCTCTCAGCACATAGGACCCAGATCTGGACTCAGCCTGCCCTAAAGCACACCCACCACTGGGCCTGGGACCCTCACCCACCCAAGCACTCAGGCTAGACACCCAGACAACTCCTAGCCATCCCCGGCCTCCAGCTGTGCCAGGCGCCCACAAGATGTAGGCTCCACCTCATCAACTCTGTCCTTGTTGCGCCATGGTCCTGGCCCCTCGCCTCTCACATGGACCTCACCAACCAGTCCACATCTGACACCATGCCGTCCCATGCAGAAAAGCTGCCCTGGTTCCCACTCCTCAGCCTCCATGTCCTTACTCTCAACCTTGATGGACACCGCCCCTGGACTCCCACCACATGAAGGGACACAGGGCCCAGCATCTGCCTTGTGGGGGCAGAGAGGAATCTAGGCCCTTGGGGAGGTTCCCTGACTCAACAAAAACAGACCAGGGAGCTGTGCCTGTGGCCCACTGTGCAGCTTCAAGCAGTTGCCATTGCCTCTCAGAGCCTCCATTTCCCCACCTCTGGTATAACCTCTCACGACTGAGGTGAGACTGTGTCCCTCTGCTTGGGAGCTGCTGTCCCAGGCCAAAGAGGGTGCAGCAGGGGTAGGCAGGCCCCAGCTTCTCCGCTGAGGACTACAAACAACTTTTCAAAAGCCTGTCTGTGGCAGGAGCCTGCCCTGGCAACCATGGCCACCATGGCCATCCCCAGGGCCCCGCTGCCATGCTGCAGTAGGCTCTGCTGTGCCGGGAGAAGCAGGCCCTGGGGAGCAGCCTGGAGCCCCAGACACACACATGTGGCCCCTCTCTCCAACTGGAGAAAACAGGGAGCTTGCAGCTCTCTGGGACCTAGGCCTTCAACCTCAAACCCAGGTGACAGGGACCCAGCCCCCTCAGCAATAAGGGCATGGAAAGGGGTCTCCAGTAACCTCCTCTAACAACCACCCACCTCCAGTCTATGTTCAGAGCCAAGGACCAGAGAGAGCGGCCCAGCACTCCAGGCCACACAACAGCACCAGGACCTGCACTCCTAGGACCCGCCTGGTCTAGGCTTCTCTGTTTTGGAAGAGGGGAAGGGTGAACATGAAACTGTGAGGGGCCAGGTTAAGAGATGGCAGGGGGGGGAGCACGCTGCCCAACAATGAAGTGTTGATTCAGGGACCCTGGGACCCCCATGGCATCAGGGAGGCAGGCCCTCGGTCGCCAGAAAACAGAAGGAGCGGTATAGGGTGGGACGGGGCACTCCAAAGATGCACAGACAGCAGGCCTAGCCCAAGAGAGGGGACTGGGGACCAGAAGCCCCTGGGAACCCCGCAGGACAACGCGCGGGGCGGAGCCTCTCACCTTGCGCTTGCACAGGTGCAGCACTACACGCTCCGGTGAGGTGCCCAGTACGTGCTGCCGGAAGCGCAGGAGCGCGCACACGAAGTCGTCACGCAGGCTGACAAAGCGGGCCTCCAGGTAGAAGGCGCGGTCGTCCCAGCCCAGCAGGCGGGTGCGCACATCGAAGGGCTCGAGTAGGCGCAGCGAGCGGCGGTAGCGCGCGCACGAGGCGGCCAGCACGGTGTGCGCTCCCAACTCTCGCAGCGCACCAAGCACACCGCAGCGGGTCAGGTGCGCAGCGCGCGCCACGTCGGCCTCGCGCAGGTAGCGCGCGTTGTTCATGTGCAGCAGCAGGTCCAAATCCGAGGGCAGCACGCGGCCCGGGAAGCGCTGCTCAGCCAGCAGGTCGCGGACGCGCGGCTGCAGTAGGCGCGCGCGCAGCACGGCGCACGGCACGCGCACAAGGTACCAGCCGTCCAGCAGCGCGAAGAAGGCGAGCGCCAGGGCCAGCAACGCCACTAGCAGCACCGGCATCGCGGAGACGGCGCGCTGTGCGTTTGAGCCCACTGTGCCGCAGCCCACCGCCCTGCACGCCCGCCGGGGAACCTGCAGGCGCAGCGCGGCCGGAGCGAACCACCTCGCCCAGCCGGCCGGGGGGGAGGCGCCCCGCCGCAGCGCGCAGCCCCGCCCACAGCTCCTGTACCCCCCCCCCGCGCGCCGTCATGGTCCGTCCCGCCTCCCGGGCCTGCGCCGCAGTCGCTTTCCCCCGGCGGGGCGGGGCGTGCGGGGTGCCACAGCGGCGTCTGGCGGCCGCGCCCGGCGCTGCAGGCGCAAGGGTGTACCGGGCCTTGCGCAGCGTCTCCGCCTCTGCTTGGAGCGCCAGACCCTAGCGCGTCTCTCGCTGGCGGTGAAGACGCGGACTAATGCCGGAGGTTTGGCCTTTGACTCAGCAAAGTCAAAGGGTACAGCGCCAGCCTAAACTGCGAGACTTAGCAAAGACAATGGGACACATTCTGGTTCCCGGCGGCGCTGCTGAGAGACGCTACTGGACCCTTCTGCTGCAGAACCTGCGGGTCTCCCCACTCGCAGGGCGAGGCCCCACGGCGTTCGCGGTGGTTCTGGACTAGTCGCGACCTGGCCCTTATGCGCATTTTCAGTCCCAGCCTGTAACCTCATTCCAACCCCCAAAAATCCTGCTGACGCCACTCTCATTCCCATACATTCCTAGCAACATATTCAAATCTCTTGCTTTGGGCACTTGGGACTTTGGCCCAGCCTGCGGTTGCATAGGCTTAACTGTCGAGTCCCTCTTCCCTGGGAGGCTGTGCCAGCTGTCCCCGGCAGCCCCCAGGGCTCTCGGGTGACAGCGTGTGCCAGTGACCTAGCATGCCACCTCATTTAGGTCTGTGCTAGGGTCCAGGAATCCATGTGTGGGTTTTACGGGCTTCCGAGTCAGGCTATAGGTTCGGGACGCTCTAACAAGACATTGGGCAGCAGCTGGTTGAGAGGGGCTTTAGCCCAGGACGCAGTGGTTTTGACCTGGGGTTGCAGGGCTCTTGACTGCCCTCAAAGGAGGAGCTTCGTGGGGCAGACCACCCCACAATTCCGGGGCTGCTATACATGCCCTGGTCACTGTCAAGGCCAGAGGCTGAATTCTTTGCTTTTCTGGCTTTGTTTCTAGGGCCAGCAGCTTGGCAGAGTGGGGTCTGGTTTTCCTGGGTCTTGGGATCTGCCTGATGCTCCCAGGGACCAGGAGTGCATTGTCCTGATCTAAGAAGGGTCTTCTACATACACTTCTCACACTTGTCCCTGTAGCACCCTGTCCTGGCTCTGAGGCCTCTCCCCATGGAGGGGCAGCCCCTCAAGATGAAGAGTGTGAGGACATATCCTTTGAGTCCATTGGCTGTTGCTCAGAGAATGCAGTCTCCTGTTCACCCGCGTTGCCCAGTTTGTCCCATCCTGCCAGAGGAGGGACCCACAGCTGGAGGCCCAACCCTGAAGATGTCAGTGAAAGTTGGTGAATGAGAAACCAGCCCAGAGCTTAGAAGACCTCCATCTTCTTGGTCCCCTCTACTCCCCATTGTTACAGGCCTCTGAGAGGAGGTTTTTGCATTTTTTGGTGTTTGTTGTGAAAAAGAATTTCAGGACTCGCCACATAAACCAACCAAGCAAAAGCTTAATTGAAAGGGGAAGTACACTCTCAGGAAAGAGAGTGAGCAGGCCGGAGAAGGCAGCTGCACTAAGAGAAAGTGATCTTAGATCTTTTCTTTTGTGGTCTTACTAATTAAGGGGAGGAAGAAATGTTCAAGGCCAAGGGGTTGGCTTTTACTAAGAATTTGGGTAGTAATTCCTAGAATTGGGTTCTCTTCTATTTTCATACTTTGTATGGTTGCTTTGGAACTGTCATGGCAATTTCAAGGGCAGAGAAATTTTAAAGCCACAATGCAAATGATATTGTAATTACCCAAAGGTCAGGTAAGGTGGCAGAGATGGCTGACAAGCTGGTCGAAGCCAGTTCTTACCTGCCGTTATCAGCCCCTCCAGTTAGCTTCTGCCCAAGAGCTGTTTAGCACCTGTGATCTTCAGGCCCCTGCATTGGTCTCAGCCCTGTCTCCCAGTCTCCTGCTCTAATGCCCACCTTGTTGCCTACTTTGTTTCATTCCAAGCATCTGCTCTCCAGGCCTCCCCCACTGCCGCATCTGTCCCACACAGTGGACAAGGGCATCTTAGGGTGGGTCACTGGCAATTTATTGGGAGGCTTGAAGGAGTCTAAGTCAGGTGGGAGAATCCTGGGCGCCAGACCTGAAAGCCCCTTCCTTGACCTGGACTTGGGGAGTCTGAGCCCACAGAACTGCAGCATGGAGGAGCTTGGGAAGGTGGGCAGTGGTGCTCCTGAGCCCCTTGGTTCTGGAAGGATTTCCACGTGTGTGGTAACACTGGGCATCGCCACCAGAGCCAGGATCACAGCCCAAGTTCTAGTGGCTGCCACCTAGGTTCACCCAGGTTCAAGCCTCCGGGGCTAGGAGGACTGTGGGCTCAGGGTGCTGCCCAGGGGAACGTGAGCAGCAGGAGCATGGTGGGCATGGGACACCACTGCAGCCCAGCCCGGCCCGGCCCGGCCCGGCCTAGCGAGCTGCCTGGGGCCTCACAGCAGCAGTTTCAAGGGTGCTTCCGGCCCAGCTGGTTGGGGTTAGAGGGCTCACACATGGCAATGCACACTTTGGCCATGGTCACTTTGCCTGAGAAGGGGACAGAGTGGAGGTTGGGTGGGCACAGACCTAGGTTTGCAACCTGGGGGACCCATGAGACTTAGGTGCATAAAAAGGGGGTGATGGCCCTAGGGGTGGTGGCTCTGCTGCAGCTCAGGGGATTCACTCTGGGGCAACCCAAGGGGTTGCCTGCTGGGGCTCTTTTCTGGGTGCATGTCTGCCCAGGCTGGGGCTGGAGGCAGGTGTCCTTGCTGGAGTCTGTTGAGTGCCCCACTGTTCAGGCATCCAGCTGAGTCCCTGGGCCAGGAGCATGTGTAGCAATGCAGAGCCAAGCCAGGGCACAGGGACGACCCTCCACCTGTGCCACCCCCCCCCACCAGCCTTAGTGGGGTGGGTGGATTGGAGTCTGGGATGTGGAGACTTGGGTAAAAACCTCATACCTTCCGGCATTCCCGGGACTTGCTTGACCCACAGAGGGACTCCTTGGGGTACCTCCCAGGACAACCTCCAGCAGGGGCTTCAGAACTCCTTCCTGTGTGGCTTGACTCCTGCAGCTGAGTTCACTGGCCTGGCTGAGGAGAGGAGGGGAGCCCCACTGTGTGGGCCCCACTCTAGGGAGCAGTCTGGAAGCAGGGAAGAGGGAAGCCCAGGAGAGATGGAGGGGAGGGGAAGGAGGGAAAAGGGGAAGTGGGAGAAGGAGAAGAGACCCTATAGATAGCACCCCCCACCTCCCACCCCCCCTCAGCCCTGCCTGCAGCAGCCAGAGAGTCTGAACATGTCACCCCTCAGGGAGCAAACCTGCCCCCACTCCAGCTGTCTTCCCCCTCTGCACCCTAAGCCTGGCCAGGGGAGGGGCCAAACTTACAGAAAAGGGGCCCCAGGCAGGTGATAAGCTGGCCATGGAAGTGTCCCACTGTGGCTGTCCACCCCATGCTTTGGTAGGGTGGGCAGGGACCTCTGCAGATGCCAAGTGCTTAAGCGTAGGGACGTTCTTAGGGAGTTGGACCAGCCACTGACCTGGGGAGATACGCCTGGTTTGGGGTAGATGGGCACACGGGAGGGTGGCGAGAAGCAGCTGTGTGACCTCAGGTCAGTCCATTCACCTCTCTGAGCCTGTTTCTACCTGGGTGATAATCTCTAGCCTGACCACTAACTCACAGTGCCTCAGTTTCCTTCTCTGTGGGGGATGAATGAACGAAGCATGGAAAGCCCGTAGAATAGTGCCTGGAATATGGTAAGGGCTACATCAGCACTTGCTGTTATTGTCCCCTGTTGTTGTAGATGTAATAGGATCAGTCCGGTGGCTCACATAGTAAATGCTTAGGAAATGGAATCTTAAAGACTGAAAAGGTCCACCCATTCAAGGGAGTTCCACAGCCATCAGGTACAAGAATGAGTGTCTGTGTTTCTTCATATGGACAGACAGGAAGTAAAAGAGCAGTTTACCCACCAGGCTCACGTCTGCAATCCTAGCACTTGGGAGGCCAAGGCAAGAGGATCACTTGAGGCCAGGAGTTCAAAACCAGCCTGGACAACATACAAGATCCCGTCTTTACATAAAAAGAATTAAACATTAACTTGATGTGGCGGCACACCTGTAGTCCCAGCTACTTGGATTGCTTAAGCCCAAGAGCTCAAGGTTGCAATGAGCTATGATGGTACCACTGTACTCTAGCCTGGGTGACAGAGTGAGACCCTGTCTCTTAAAAAAATGAAAAAGGCAATTTACCAAAGTCCAGGCACGCACATTGAAAGTGTGTATCTGCATGTATTTGCATAGGAAACAACATGAAGCCTGCCACAATGTTGATAGATATTACCCTAGGGTTTGGGGATGTGGGCTCTTTCTTTCTTGCCTTTCTGTAGTTTCTATGGGTGAGGCGATGTGGGAAGAGAAGGAGGCACTGGTTCCAGTCCAGATTCTTCCTTGGGGCAGCTCAGCTACGTTCCCTGAGCACGTAGAGGACCCCTAGAACCCTGGTGAGCCAGGGGTGGGGCCTGGCTGCTCCACAGGTGGCCTTCTCTGGCAGGTCCCTGCCCCTGAAGAGGCGAGCCCTGTGTTCCTGATGTGCTGTGTGGCCAGAGCAGGCTCATAGTATAAGGGAGGGGCAGGTTTGGCTCTTGTCACAGGTCTTCAGCTCAGAGGCTTTTAACCTTGGGGACAACTCAGGAGGTCAGAGGCAGCCCCAGGTTACACTTTGGCCCTCCCTCCCTTACCTGGCCCAAATCATCAAATGCAAAGAAGTCCCAGGACAGGATGTAGGGACCCTTTGCCCCTGTACATCCCCAGCCTGCAGTACCCCGATGGGCTCCAGCACTGGGACACATCTCGTATCTCTGAACCTCAGCCCCAGGAAGAAGGACCACCTCCCACTAGGTTCGGCTGATGTGTGGGTACCTCTGTGGCCTCTGAGTCTTGTTTGCTAGACAGGAAGCCATTCTCATCATCCCCAACATTTGCCTGCAGACTTCCAGGGTTCCCAGAGGCCTTCCTTGCCATGCCAGCATTTTGGATCCTCTTTCCCTACTTTATTTTTCCTCCTAGCCCTCATCATTCTCAGGCTACATATTTTGTGTTTATCCTGTTTATCTGACTCTACTGCCCTGTAGGCTCTGGAACCTCAGATGGCTCTAGGGTGTGGGAGGGCTGGGGAGCACCCAGCCACACCAGGGTGACTGCTGTATTTAAAGTGCCTGCAACAGCACCTGGAACATAGCAGGTGCTCGATAACTGTGTGCTGAGCAGATGGGACAGTGCAGGGTGCCAGCATCCTATACCAGTGTCATTGACGATCACCAGGGCATGTCAGCAAGCCAGGGAAGAGAGCTTCAGGAGACATGGTATGGCCAGAAGCACAGTCCTGAGTATCTACCAGTCCTTGGGCTACTGTTGGCCCAAGTTCCAGCCCCACGTCCTGCACCAGAGCCCTGATGGGTACAAAGTTATGCCTGGGGCCCCCAAGTCTGCAGCACCCTCCCAGAAAACAAAGGCCCTGGACCCTGGACCCAGGCCCCAGACCAAGGCAGGTCTGTGTGTTGAACATGCCCTGGGCCCCAGTGAGGGTGGGCATGCTGGAAGCTGGAGTCCAGAGCTACCCCAAGGGAGCTGGGCAGGTGAGCTGGGCTGGAGGCCAGCAGGGCGGAGAAAATCAGCACTTGGGGTCACTCAGATCCTGGCCTGGGGAAGGTCTCTCTATATCACTGTCCCAGGCCACACAGAGTTCCAAAGGGAAGCTCCCACCTGAGATCACACCCAGGGTGAGCTGCCAGCCTGCCTCTTGTAGCCCTGCCCTCAGCTTTCCACACCCCCAATCCAGAGCTCCAGGGCATGGGTTCCAATCCTGGTTCAGTATGCGTGTAGGTGGCAGACCCCTTCCCTCTCTGAGTCTCTGTCCTCTTCTCTGAAAGAACCCCCATGACCCCCAATGCTCCTAGAGGCTTCACCCTGAGCATGTCTCCACCCAGAGCACAGGCCACCACTCCCCAGGCCTGGGACAGTGAGGCTGGCTGTTTTCAAAGAGGCTTTCCCAAGAATGAACAAAGCAGGAATGGGTGGTGTCCTCCAAGCAGGCCTCAGGACCCCAGGTGTGCAGGGATGCTGGCATGGGCGCAGGACCTCCCTGGAAGGAGCCCTGAGAGGTGTGATAGGGCATCTTCAGAGGGGAAGGGACCTGGGGGTTAGGGTGGGGGAGTCCTCTTGCTTTGAGTCACTGGGGACTCTCTTGCAGCGCTTGAATGCTTTACTGTGGGAGTGCAGTTCTTACAGCTAACAATTTTTGAAAAATGGGGGCTCAAATCAGGCCAAAAAGAGGGGTGGGAGCTCAGTGGTGGCAGCTCTTCCCCCTGGGAACCCTGTTCTTCCCATGAGTTTCCTGTGAGGGCCATCCTCACAGCAGGGAGGAGTCACAGATGAGCACCTAAGGCTCAGAGAGGTTTGGCACCGTACTTGAGGCTGTACAGCTAGTGGGAGAGCTCTGAGAGAGGCAGTCTGGCCTCCTGCAAGAAGTCCTTCCTTCCAGGTGGCACGCATTTGCTCATGCAAAGTGGGAGCTACAGCCCATAAAGTCAGGGTCACAGCCACAGACCTGGCTTGGGGGGCATCCAGACACAGACCTGGACCCCGCCCCCAGGGGTGTGCAAGGACAGAAGCTCTCTCCAGCTTACCCAACAGGTGTTTATTAAGGGCCTACTGTGTGCTGGGGCTGCTGCTCAGGGACCCCCATGGACATGGGGGGCTGGTCCCTCCCTCCAGCCCTCCAGCTCTCCATCTCTTGAGACTCCTAGGACCTCATACCACCCCCATAGTGCCCAGTTCTACTCAGCCCATTTAGTCTCAGCCTTACTGGGCCCTCCTGAGTGCCTATGCCTGCTGGTGAGGGGACGCCATGGACCAGATCTGGCTCAGCTCATGGAGGGGGTAGGTGGGCAAGGAAGGCTTGTTGGAGGAAGAGGTGCCTGAGCAGAGGGTTAAGGGTGGGGGATGTTGGAGGTTGGCAGGGTTGTCTGCAGGCTGGTCTGTGTCACCAGAGCCCAGCCTGCCCGGCAGGTGGGCAGGAGTCCAGGAGGGCCAGAGGGGCAGAGGGGTGTAGCCACACCTGTGTTAGGACATGCCCGCAGGGACCGGGGCCGCCCCAGCTCCGCCTGGGGCATGTAAGGAGCATCCCAGGGCCCCCAGGGACTGTGCACAAGGTGGGCTGTGGCAGGGTGCTCCTGGAGCCTACAGCTGGCTGGGGACCCAGAACAGCAGGCCACCCAGCGAGGTGAGCAGCGCCAGGGTGGTGACAGCCGGCTGCAGGGTATGGGCCCCACTGGCGTTGCACAGGTCGGTGGAGCAGCATGTGACGTTCTTCTCACCCACGTAGTAGTCCTGAGAGTCGTCCACACAGTGCGAGGTGCAGCCCTTGCTGAGGATGGTCACGAGGCCGGCAGCACCTGGCAGGGCATGAGGACTGGGTACTCACCACCTGGCCTTGCTCCTGGGCCCCCCTACGTCCCAGCTGGAGCTCTGGAGCCACCCTAGGCTGGCCTCAGGACTGCAAGCAGCATGAGGGCTGGGCTCATCCATGTCCAGATGCCAGGGCAGCTGGGCCTCCCACTGGGCACCAGAGTGTCCAGGGAGAGAGTGAGTGCGGGGGTGGGGATGAGTGGGTGGGTGGTTGGGAAGATGAGCACATATGTGTGAGCAGAAGGATGAAGAACTCAGGGGCAGAGACCTATGTCCAAGTCTTTTGGTCCCCGTGTAGAGAAGGGATGGCGCAGGGACAGGGGGGCCACTCACGGATGCGTTCGGTCCAGCACTGGGTGTCCGACTGGCTGCAGTTCTGCACATGCTGGCAGTCGCTGTTGCTCACCTTGCCCTTACAGGAGTAGCACTGCAGCGCACGGCCTGCGGGCAGGGCAGGTGTTCAGAGGTTGCCACTGGCCGGGCTGGGGAGCCTGCAGCCTGCCAGCCGCATTTTCTCCTCCCGCACACAGCAGCTGAGAGTGAGGTCTCAGCCCCTTCCAGACTGTAGGGGTGGAGGGGACAGGGGCCAAGAAAGCTGGACATGCCCTCATTGGAAGGCAATGATTCTCCAAGTGCACCAGGAGCCACTTCTCTGTGCACTTCCTGGCTTGGTGCCTGACGTGCCACTCGGGGTTTCCAAGCTTTGTTAAAATGCCCACGCTGCTATGAGGGAAGGGTGACCAGTCTCAGGGGCCCTGCTGGACACCGGGGAGGTGGGGCATGGACAAGACCCTTCCTTCACCTCCCCAGGCCACCGGGCATTGAGGCCCACCCATCCTTGTCCCCCAACAGCCTGTCCAGGTCCAGGCAGGCCTTGGCTCCTCAGGCCTCCTGGGTGCTGTGTGGGCCCCTAGGTCAAGTCCTGCCCTGTGCTCGGGGTGGCCCAGCTGCCAGCTTGTCCTGACCTTTAAGTGTCCCCCCTTCAAAACAACAGTAAAGCTGGGATCCAGGCCCCTGGTGAAAACAGGAGCTCAATGCCACTCTCCCCACCCGTACTCAGTACTCCACGAACTTTGCCCTTTTTAATTCCCTATTGGCCTTGGGGGGGGCATTTTTATGATCCCCACTTTCCAGAAGAGGAAGCTGAAGCCTTGAGAAGTTTAGTGACTTAACCAGGGACCCTCGGCCAGGAGGGACTGCACAGGCCAGACTCTCCCATGGGGCCCTTGGGTCCTGTCGGATGCCCCAGCACCCCTCCACCCCCTATTCTCCATTCCCTCTAGGGCGCTTCTTAGCAGGAAGCTTTTTGCCACATGCCTTCCTGCTGTTGGTGAGCATCTCCATTCCTCTGTCCAGCCATCCGTCTATCCTGCCCCTCCAGGAGCCAAGCCCCAGACACCCCTCCATACCAGCCTCTCACGGGATGGCAGGGAACAGCTCGCAGTATGAGCAAATCCTGGCTGCCTTCCTGGTGGTGCCAAGAGTTGCCCTTGAGGGCCCTGGGCTGGGGTGAGGGCCCTCGTCGAGCAGCCTCCCTTCCTCCCTTCCTTCCGCCTGACTCCCTCGGCTCCCCCGCACCCCCGTCGGCCCGGTGGGTCTTCCCTGGCTCACCCCTGCCCCAGCCCTGCCTGGGAGCTGGTCAAGGCCTCACCTGCCTGCAGGACCAGGCCAGCGGCCAGCAGGGCAAGGAGGACAGCCTTCATGGTCACAGGTGGGCAGTGGTGGAACGGGTCTCAGGGCGGCTTTATACGGTTTCAGGCGCGGGTGGGGGCACAGGCAGGGGCGTGCTGCCCATGGTCAACACCAGCAGGTTCCCTGGAGCCAGTGAGGGCCCGAGGGCTGGGCAGATTCCAATCCCCCGCAGGCTGGCACCTCCCTTCCCTTTGTCCTTCTTTCTCCCTGGAGGGCAGATCCTGCCCTGCCCTGGGCTGTTTCTCCGCAGGCCACCCCCAGGCCAGAGCTGAAAAGTCCTCAGGCCCAGACTAGCCTCCCCCACCTCACAGAGCAGCCCACACAAGGGGGACACTTTCTCAGGCTCAGCCCTCCCCAGTCTTCTAGCCAAGGATGAGGGCCTCATCCTTCTGCCTGTGCAGGAGCCACACTGCCCTTCTGGGCCTAGGGTGATAGGCCTCCATCAAAGTGTCACAGACAGATCAGGAGCAGTCACTGACAGGCAGCTAGGGCTGTGTCCAGGGCAGGGGCTGTTCTGGAGGACACCTTTCCTGGGAAGGGGGCCCAGCTGCACAGGCTCAAATTTATGGAGCACTTATTGTGCACCAGGCCCTGAGCTAAGTGTCTTAACCTCAGTACCTTGTTTAATCCCCACAACGTGGAACTTTAGCTGCAAGGGAGTTGGAAAAATGCAGCTTTTAGCTGCCTTTGCAATGGCAGGGGGGTGCAGGAGGCTGGGTCTGGGCTGGACACTCTCCATCAGCCCCAGACCCGCTTCCCCGCTGCTCTGCGTCCTGGGAGGCTGGCCCGGCTTCGCTGCCAGGAGACTGAAAGGAAGGGCCTGAGGTCGGGCTGGCTCTCCTGCCAACACCACGACCACTGGGTGGTGGTGGCAGTGGCTGCAGCTCTCTAGAGGTGGCCCAGGTCCTGTTGGGAAGCCTTCTCCTGCCCCATGGGCTCTGCCCAGCCTTGCTAACTGTGCCTTCCCCTTGACCTCCAAGCTCAGGGGGCAGTGGATTCCTGCTGCCGTTGGCTTTGGGGGCAACTTGTGTTCCCTGTTGTTTCCAGAAGCCTCACCCCTAACTTCATACACTGTCCTTGTGCTAGCCTGTCCCTAGAGACCCCTTTGGGCATGCCGTTGGTTGGCTGCACACTGGTGGATGAATGTGCTGGCCGTGGACACTGCCTGCCTTCTGAGTACACATCTGGAGGGGGACAGGCTCCACTTCCAGGATGAACCCCACCCCTGATGCTCTCCTGTCTGTCCTTGTCATCTTCCTCGATTTATCCCCCTGAAGAGGGCCCAGTGCATGTTGGGTCAGTGAGGATGTTGCAGGATGGGAGAGCAAAGGGAATCAACCCATCTTCCTGCACACCTGGACCCTCCAGGCAGGCCAGGGAGCAGGTGTTTCTGGCCTTCTCACCCTGAGTCCTGGATCAAGATGGCACAACTGAGGTGAGTCAGGGATAACTCAAGACCCAGAGCTCTCTCAGATTCAGCAGCCACGACAACCAGTCCATGGGCTCCCATGGGGGGCTTCAGGCCAGCCCCAGACCCTCCAGGGTGTCCCCTCCCCGCTGCCAGCACCCACTGCATTGGGCTCTTTTCCACAAACATTGTTTATCCTTTGGCAAGTGAGGGGCCTGGCCCAGAGAGGGGCAGGAACTTGCTCAAGGTCATGCAGTGTGAGTGTGGCCTCTTCTCTACTCTGCCCACCCAGAACTTTCTCTCTGAACACACCTCTAGCCCATAGTTCCATAAGCTCAGGTAATTAAAATGTGTGTGACTTCACTGTTCCATGTGGCCACCTGCCTGTCTGCCCATCCTCCCTGCTCCCCCAGCCCCAGCTCCTTGGGACTGTGGCTGCCCCTGCACAGGAGCCTTTCCTGTCTCTATATTCAAAACACCCGGTACCTAGCACCAGCCCGGAACTTTCATTCCTCAAATATTTACAGGCATGTAAATGTTTGTTGATCTGATTTGATATGAAGTGATTGCTCTAAGGTGGTGGTTCTCAAACATGGGCGATTTGACAACGCCTGGAGACATTTTTCCTTGTCCTAACTTGGGGGTGCTACTGGCCTCCAGTGTGTCCAGGCTAAGGATCTGTTCAACACTCTGCTATGCACAGGACACCCCCAGAGTCATTGGCCCCAACTGTCAGTTGTGCTGAGGGTTCAAGATTGGCCTGAGGATGGCCAGATGGCCACGGCTCAAATATTGTGATGTCACTAGAGCCCTGCCCCTGGCCATGGGTTGAGCTCTGACCTCACCCCAAAACTGAGCCCTCACTATGGTCAGTCTGAACTTTGACCCTGGTCACCAAACAAGCCCCGAGTGTGGTCACACCCTGAGTCCTGTGTCTAGTCACACCCTGGTCACTGACTGAGCCCCGATCCTGGTCACACTCTGACCCCTGTTCCCTGCTATTCATGCTTCGGGCATGCACTGAGTACAGCCCCTGAACCTAAACTGAGCCTGGATCCCTTGGTGTCCCACCTTCTAGAAAGATCTGTCACAAAGAGGCATGACTCCCTGCAGTCCCCTCCATGCAGTGGACCAGGTCTGGGTGTGGCATCACCTGACTCACCCTTGACCTCTTTCCTCTGCTCTGCTGCTCACCTCCTGGGCTCCAGATTTTCCTGTTCTCTCTTGGTCTCCCACCTGACTGCCATGGCCCAAACCAGTTGGGCTCTCTGGAGATCCTGCCCGTTCACATAGTGCAGAGGTTGCCCCGATCCCTGCCAGGATACCAGCCGGGGCCAGAGCAGCTGGGCCAGGTCCAGGGTCTCCTGGGAGCAGACCCACCTTGTGCAGAGTCCCACTGCCACCTCCTGGGGCTGCTGTACAGTCCCATGCTGGAGCACACGTCAATCCTGTGTGAATTTTATAATTCGTGCAGACTTAATTTTAAAAAATAAAGATAGCATGTTAACTGCAAAACCACAACTGATTTCTGTTTATACCACTGTGGGTCCTTTCCTTTGGAAAAATGCACTCTTAGATCAGGAGGGTGACCCTGTTGTGGTCAGATCACAGACCATGAGAGTTCGGGCACTCTCAGCGCCAGGCCCCCATTTGGAGTTCTGGAAATTAAGGGTATGACTTGCAAGCTGTGTGTGTGTGAGATATGTGTGAGGGTGTGTTTGTATGTGCAAACTATGTGAGCATGAATGTGTGTACATTTGGTGCCATATGTGAGAGAACGGTGTGTGTGAGTGTGTGTTAGGGGCACTCAGTGACCATCCAGGCAGCAGGCCCCTCAGCACCTGCTTCCCCCAGCCCTCCCTGGCCGAGCACCTACAGCCCTGCCCCCATCCTGAGGTCCAACCCCCCTAACTCCCCAAGGGCCCTGTATCCCCAGAGAAAGTACCTCTTCCTGGTTCTCACAAAGGTGCCATCAGAGGCACTGCCCCACACCTGTTCCCCTCCAGTCTTAGCACCAAGGTGGCAATGGGCACTGTCCCTGCCCCTGCCCTCTGCCTCCAGTGGCTCTCAGAGCTGTCCCTGTCCCTCTACCCCCTCTGCCCATGCCCACTCCTGCCTCTTGGCATGAGCAAGGGAGACCCCAGACCCACCCAGGACAGCCCCCTTCTCTGCCAGCTGGGCATGGGTTTCACAAGCACCCTTTGCCAGGGAGCTGGAGGTCCCCCCCAACCCTATCACCTTGAGACCCACTGGAGTGAGGGTTAGCGGGTGATTTCCCCCCACCTGAGGCCTCCAGAACCTGAGCGAGGGGCACTGCTGGGGGTCAGGCCTGCCTCCAGACTCAGGGCTGCAGGAAGAGGGGACGGCATAGCCCGTGGGCTTGTGAGAGGACCACAAGAGGTCAAGCTCAGGTGTGTCCTTGTGGCCCAGTGAGGACTGGGCTTTATTCAGGGACACAGAGTCAGGTCCCCAGACTGACCCTTTTGAAGGCCTCTCCAGCTGCGAGTGGGAATGGTGAGGCCAGTCAGGAAGGAGGCTGTTGCTGTGGTCCAGGCAGGGTCTGGGAGGGCTCTACCCTCTGAACTGGGGGATGGCTAGGGGTGAGGAGCCCTCAGTGCCAGGCCCCAGGAGACACCAGTGTATCTTATTCCTTCTTTTCTCCTTTTTCTTTTTTTTCTTTGCCATTTTATTTTTATTAAGTACTATATAACACACTGCATACTACATAATATACTGTATAACTTTCTAGCAGGAGTAGATGACCATTACTGAGTAATTTTTTTATCAATCAAGAAAATGCTGCTTTAATCAATGTTCTCCAAACCCTCTGACAGGTAGTAATGATTAACTCCAGAGATGAGCCTATTTCTTCCCATCAAACTCCAACGACATACAAAATGGGCAACTCTTTTTTCCTTGCCACCGTTAGTGAGCCTGTGAATGCACACAGTGGCCACTCCGGGGATGATGAAGCACGTGCCCATGACGGCAAGTCCAGGGAGAATCTGGAACCACATTTCAGCACCTAGGCCCCTGGCTAGGCCAAAATTCCGCTTCTAAGCCCCTTAAAGGTAACTGGGATTCCTCTTTTCCCCATTTTCTGAGCCCTTCCCACAACTAGAGTGGGCTTGGTCCTTGAGATGAGGCCCAAGGGTCCCAGTGGTAGGAGCACCTATGGGACCCCCATGCATCTTGGGGGTCAGGTCCCAGTTCTGTGCCAAGCCCCACACTAGCCAGCGCCATCCAGGTCCTAGGAGGTGCATGTAATCTTATGTCCACGAGGTGGCAGCAGAGTGTCACATGCACAGATGCAGCCCGCCCACTGGCTACTCTCAGGGGACTTCACTGTCCCAGGAGACCATACCAAAGGGAGCACCAGTCCAGTGGTCCCACCACAAGCCTGGTATGCTTTGTGACTCAGTTTCCTCCTCTTTCAAAAACTCACCTGACCTTGCATTCCCAAATTCCTGCTCCACAGAATCACATGCAATAAAATGGTTGCTGTTTCAAGCCACTAAGTTAAGGGTGGTTTGGTAGACAGCAGTCAACAGCTGATAGGGGGCTAAGGTCAGAAACCAAGAGAGCAGGGGGTTGGCAACTGCAAGATCATGGAGGCATGGGCTGAGGGAGGGAGGGCAGGTGGAGGGAGCAGAAAAGGTCCGATGTTGAGTGGATTGCAAGGTAGAGGATGTGGGTATTAGGGACTGAGAGGGTTAAGGGTGACTGGATTTTCCTGGCCTGAGTAAATGGACGGTGAGTTGCCATTTACTACAATGGGGGAGGGGGGCAGGTTCCAGGGTGGGAGCAAGGCTGGGTGGGAGCTCAAGCGTTCAGGTCTGGAAAGGCTGTGTCTGAGGTGCTGTTAGAAACTGTGCAGAGATGTTGGGTGCCAGACAGGAGTCTGGATTTCTGGTGAGAGGTTCTGGCAGAAGACATGAATTTGGGAGTTGCCAGCCTTCGATGGCATTTAAAGGCATGATGCTGGAGGACTCCCTCAGGGAGTGGGTCCAGATAGAGAAAAGAGAGCTGGAGTGACCCTGGGATCACCAAGGGAGAGAGGAGAACTAGGGGCGAGGGGTTCTGGGCACCGAAGGAAGACTGTGAAGTAAGCAGTCTTCAAAATCTGTATTAGTTTCCTGTTGGTGTTGTAACAAGTTACACCGCCATAAACTTGGTGGCTTAAAACAATACAGACTTACTATCTTACAGTTCTGGAGGTCAGAAGTCTGCAATTAGTCTAAAGGGGCTCAAATCCATGTGTCCACAGGGCTGGTCTTTCCAGCGGTTTCAGGAGATAACCTGTTTCCTTGCCTTTCCAACTTCTAGAGCCACGTGCACTCTGTGGTTTGTGGCTCTTCATCTCTCCAACCTCTGTTTGTCACCTTTCCTTTGCTCTCTACCTTCACTGTGGCATTGGCTTCTCTCACTTGGCCTCATAAGGAGGACACTGTGAGTGCAGTCCACCCTCTGTACCCATGGGTTCTGCATCTGTGATCAGAAATATTTTTTAAAAATTTGCATCTGTATTGAACATGTATAGACTTTTTTCCTTATCATCATTCCCTAAACAATATGGTACAACTATTTAGGTAGCATTTACATTGTATTAGGTATTAGAGGTAATACAGATATGATTTAAACCATACGGGAAGATGTGTTGGGTTATATGCACACACTATACCATCTGATATCAGGGACTCGCGGATTCTCGGATTTGGGTGCCCTCGGAAGGCCCTGGAACCAAGGGCTGTACCTTGGGCCCACCTGGATAAACAGAATCATCTCTGTATCTCACGAACCTTAACTTACTCCCATCTGCTAAGTCCCTTTTCCCAACTAACATATTCACAGGCTCTGGGGATCAGGCTAGGGACATCCTCGAGGCCATCATTCAGCCGGCACAGTCCTGCTGCGGTTCCCAAGGACTCGAGCACGACCCGTGTACGACGCATCCATCACCTGGGGGCCACAACTGTTTCAACTCATTGCAGCTCAAGCCCAGATCGCACTGAGGTCTCATCACCTCAAAAGTTTCAAATCTCATCCGGTAAATCACCTAAGTGAGGTCTAGATAGTTTCTAGCTACGTAAGCTGCAGAGCGGGACGAAAACGTACCTTGGCTGTTGGGTTCCGCTGTGAGAAGAGGACTGGATCACCGCCCTCTCCTAGCAGACACTGTCCCATCAATCAAAAGCTGTCCCGGGCTGGGGTCACTAAACCCAAAGTCGCCCTCCGCGCTGACTCTTCCCCGAGACCACAAGAAGACCCCGAACGCCACCTGCACCGCGTTTTCACTCGTAAAACGTGAGACCCCAGTTGCCCTGAGCCCATCCTACAGATGGAAAAAGCGGATCTTGGAGCTTCCGAGGGCGAGGGCGAGGTCACACACCACCCACCCCTGCCCCTCCCCTCCCCCACTCCCCGCTTCTCCCCCCCCCCGCGTCCCCTCCGCCTCCAGCCGGCTTGCAATCCTATGTCTGGTGCACCCAAACGCCCCAGAGATGCCGAGTCCTCCAGCCTGCCTAGAGCGTCCCGGAAGCAGCTGGGGGAAGCGGCGAGGCGCGGACCAGAGAGGCAGGCACATCCGGCCGGTGGCGGTGGCGGCGGCTCGGGGTTCACAGGGTGAGTGGGGAGAGAGCCAGAGAAGCGGGAAGGCTGGGCCGGGCGGGCGTGGGCGACCGCTCTCCGGCCCCTGCTGGGCGCGGGTGAGGGCCGTGGGCGGGGCAGACCGCAGGCAGCAGCGCCCCCTCCCCGGGAGCCCCTCCAGCTCCAGGGCCCGAGCCCCAGGGCCGCCCGCCCTACCTAGGACCCGGGCGGGGGCGGGGGCGGGGGCGGGGCCCGCCCCACGACCTTCTCTGGAGCTCCCCTACCGCCGTGCCTGGCCTTGACGCCCCAGCCCAGACCCCTCTCGGGCTTCCACTTTCAGGGAGGATTAGTCACGAGGTATCTTTGACCCCAGAAGAAACCAGAGACTTTGCGCTTTTTTTTTTATTTGGTCCGTTTTTGTTCTTGCCCCAAACTGAGTTTCTATCCCCAAACATGGTCCCTGGGATAAAAACTTTTAAAACAAAGGCTGTCCACAGGTCCACAGTAACTCTGAGAGGTCTGTGTGATTCAGGATATCCTTTGCTGAGAAAAGGACCTGTGTTTGTAACTCCTATTGCCCCCTCCGTAAACACTCGTCAGCTTCCAGGTGCTCTCCCTGCTGAATGCACACACTCCTGATGTTGCTGTCCCAGAAAAAGAAATACCATCCTTCCTGCCCCCAAAGACTCTAATCCACCTCTTCCCCACTCTCTAGAATCCTTCCTTAGGGTATTTATGTTACACCACCACCACCAGGCCAGTCAGAAGGTGCTTTCTTACAGCCTTCCCCTCAGTTTCTCAGGACCTTTTCTAAGGCATTGTGATCCCCTCACACGGGAATGGGTCTAATGTGGACAAGTGCCTCCCTCTTCTGCCCCAGCTCTGTTCCCTTAGCCCTCTCCATTTTTTTGAGCCTTGGGCACAGGAGAATAATTTATTTCATTCCATGTTCAGGTGGCCCCAGAGTATCAACGCTTCCTTTAAAGGTACAAGGCTAGAAACCCCCTTAATTTCTCCTTGCCATGTACCCCTTTGCTTAAGAAATTGTTTCAGAAAGACTATTTGGATTTCATTTTTAAAGGAAATTTTTGGTCTTGCAAGCAGGACAACAAAGTGTTCAGCCATCTTTTGTTGCCCTGCCACACTTCCATGTCACACATCAGAAATGTCCATAGTAATCCCATTTCTGGTGCTGAGCTGCCTCCAGGAAGCTTCTCCAGTCATCCCAGTCCTGAGTCAGTTCCTCACAAGTTACTGTGGGATTCCATATTTCCCTGGGTTTTGTATGGTGGTTTCATATTAAAAATCTCCTTGAGGGTAGGTTATGGCCTTGACTTCCCACCTGTTCCCTGAGATACACATATCACACTGTGTATGTGCTGTGCCAAGCAGCACACATACCACACAGTCACCCCAGTAAATAGAATGTAAGATCTTAAGGGACTGGTGCCCACATCTTGCAGACCAGGAAACTGACTCTGAAAGGGGTAAGGACTCTCCCATAGCTAGCTAGTGACAATCTTAGAATTTGACTTTGGAGCTCTTGCTATTTTTGAATAAACTTCTCATTTCTCCTGGGTTGTGGTCTTAAAGGACTATGTTTTTATGTTCCACGTGTAAGTAGCCCTCTGGCCTCATTGACTGCATAAAGTTGGAAGAAGCAGGGCAGAGAAGGAGGGAGGAACCATGGATGGGAACTCTAGAGGTCCATGCATGAGTATGGCATGCCTTTTCATCATGGACCATGGCTGAGGGCAGGAAGCTTGCTGGTGCCCCTGCCTGGTAGTCTGCAGTCCCTCTAGATGAGAATGGGGTGAAGAGGGCATGAGGCCAAGTCATGAAGGATGCAAGTGGAGAGCACAGGACTATCCATAGCAAACACACTGCACTGAACAGACCACAGGGCAATTCTGTGTTGGTACCAACGTCTCTTCAGTACTCACAGGCTGGAGGACATCAGTGTCTTACCTGGTGACACATGTGATTCCCACAGGCTAGTGAGGATGCCATTCTGCTCAGTGGTGCAGGGAGAGCTTGGGGTTATTTGGGGAAATTGTTGTAAAAGAAGAGGATTGTCCAGCTCGAAGGACTATAATGACCCAGGTCCTCTTTATATGGATGAGGAATGGGGAGATAGTTAAAAACTCCCAACAGAAAGATGCATTGGATTAGAGCCATGGAGTTTATATAAGTAACTTTTCTTTGTATTATCTTACTAATTTTCATCAAAGGTATGTGTGTAAACTTAAAAGCAAAATTTATTACTCAAAAGGGTACATAAATGATTCAGGAAAAAGACTCCACTCCCAGTGGGCTATGAGACAGTTCTGGTGTTTTGCTTCTGGCATGAATTAGTAATTTATTCATAGGGCATCCTAAATTAGCAAATACTTTGGAAGCCCCTGCTCTGGCCTACCACTCTCCTATGTCTCCTTTGTGCACATGTGTGAGTGATACATGCACATGTGAGCGAGCGTGTGCACATGCGAATGAGTGAGGGGGTGTGTGTCCAGCAGGGTGTGTGGTCCTGCCTTATTGTGGATCCCAGGTGGACAGCACTGACAAGATGGCACTGGGTGACAAGTAGGGACTAATTTCGAAGACCAACGGGCTCTGAGCTTGAGGAGTCCAGTGTGAGATTCCCTGAAACAGTCACATGCTGTCCATTTACTGTGGCCTGTCTTAGAGACGTGTGGTCATGGAGGTCAGGTGGTTGTTGGAAACTTTGGCAGCACCTCCCAGCTGTTGGAGGAGTTTGATGCCCACTGTTCTAGAGAAAGTTCTAAGGCCTAGTTTTCTATAGGCAGTTTGGGGCCTTTTGGTGAGAGGATTTTAGGAACCCTGCTCCAGTGGAGTTTGAGGGGCATTGTTTCAGAAGAGGTTGATGAGATCATCAACCCTGGATGTTTTGCAGAATTCGTGCTCCCTGCATCCCTCTGTCCCCTGCCTGTGCTGTTCAGAAGGAGCAGTTGCTGTAAGAAACTCAGTTTGGGCAAGTGGGAGGATTGCTCTTTGGTCAGCCCAGCGTTTCTGACTTTCTGGCTTTATCTGATGGCCTCTCCCTTAGCATTTTCCCCCAGGGAAGGCCAGACTGCTCTCATAAGAGCCCCTTTTAGTTTCCAGCCATAGTGAGTGACTCCAGGGTTGCTTGGTAGTAGCTGGGAAGAGCCAGTGTGACAGCAAATCAGTGGGCTGGGCTGGGCTGGGCTGGGCTGGGCTGGGCTGGGCTGCGCAGTGCAGCACCCGGGGACAGCCTCTTCCTCACAGCTCCTGTATTGGTGTGTGTAGAGTAATGCAGATGTACTCAGGGAGGTCCTGGGCGCTCTGTAATATTCTTCTTTTTCCCCCTCTGCTTTCCAGTTCCTGAAGCACTGTGCCTGTGAGACACCGTTGTGGACCCTGGAGAGAAGCACAGACACCCACAGCCCATTGCAGTAAATCGTCGATTAGCCTGAAACCTGGCCTGTGTCTGAAGGAAGCTGATGCCACAGTACACACAGAGGAGGCCAACGTTCCAGCCATATGGAGCAGTCCAGGGCAGGCTGACATTGGTCACCTCCCCTGCAAAGAGAAGACTAGCAACTGACTATGTTGCTAGGAGTCAAGGCCTGAGTGTGCTGAAGCCTGGAAGACTCTGGAAGGCTGAGGCTGGTGTTGCAGGTGGGAGGAGCCGAGGAGGGACTGGGGCTTGTGCCCAGGATTAGCAGAGTAGGGCAGGCAGAGTGGGAGTGAGAGACTGAGGCACGGGAGGGGAGCAGAAGGAGAGGGAAGGGGCCTGCAAACCCTAGGACCAGTCACCCCTCCCCATGGCCTCCAAGCAGGCTGCCGGGAAGAGCAGAGGGGAGAAGCGGAAGAGGGTGGTTCTGACCCTGAAGGAGAAGATCGACATCTGCACACGCCTGGAGCGGGGGGAGAGCCGGAAGGCGCTGATGCAGGAGTACAACGTGGGCATGTCCACCTTGTATGATATCAAGGCCCACAAGGCCCAGCTGCTCAGGTTCTTCGCCAACTCGGACTCCAACAAGGCACTAGAGCAGCGGCGCACCCTGCACACACCCAAGCTTGAGCACCTGGATCGCGTGCTGTATGAGTGGTTCCTGGGGAAGCGCTCTGAGGGTGTTCCTGTGTCCGGCCCCATGCTCATCGAAAAGGCCAAGGACTTCTACGAGCAGATGCAGCTCACTGAACCCTGTGTGTTCTCCGGAGGGTGGCTTTGGCGTTTCAAGGCCAGACATGGCATTAAAAAGCTAGATGCATCCAGCGAGAAGCAGGTGGTTGACCACCAGGCAGCCGAGCAGTTCTGTGGGTTTTTCAGGAGCTTAACTGCTGAGCATGGTCTGTCCCCTGAGCAGGTTTACAGTGCTGATGAGACCGGCCTGTTCTGGCGGTGCCTACCAAACTCCACCCCAGAAGGTGAGGCTGTACCTGGCCTCAAAAACAGCAAGGACAGGCTAACCGTCCTGATGTGTGCCAATGCCACGGGCTCCCATAGAATCAAGCCCTTGGCCATCGGGAAGTGTAGTGGCCCCAGGGCTTTCAAAGGCATACAGCACCTGCCTGTTGCCTATAAGGCCCAAGGGAATGCCTGGGTGGACAAGGAGATTTTTTCTGATTGGTTCCATCATATCTTTGTTCCCTCGGTGAGAGAGCACTTCAGAACCATAGGTTTGCCTGAAGACAGCAAGGCCATTCTCTTGCTGGACAACTCCCGGGCTCACCCGCAGGAGTCTGAGTTGGTTTCCAATAACATTTTCACCATCTTCCTGCCAGCCAGCGTTGCCTCATTAATTCAACCCATGGAGCAGGGCATTCGAAGGGACTTCATGAGGAATTTCATCAACCCTCCCGTCACCCTACAAGGCTTCCACACTCGCTACAGCATGAATGACGCCATATTCAATGTGGCCTGTGCCTGGAACGCGGTGCCCAGTGAAGTCTTCAGACGGGCCTGGAGGAAGCTATGGCCTGCGGTCACATTTGCTGAAGGCTCTTCAGAGGAGGAAGAGGAGGAGGAGGAAGAGACAGACCACTTCAGAGCTAAGCCTCACAATAAGACTTTTGCTCACATCCTGAAGCTCGTGAAAGAGAGTCCCTCTTGCCCAAGCAACAGACTTCATAAAAGCGAGGCCAAAGAGTGGGGTGCAGTGGAAGGGGAGGTGGAGGAGGTGCGGTCCCCCACTGCCGTGTCGCCAGCAGGGGCTGTTTGGAATCCAGAAAAGGCACCAAAAGCCGGCCAAGACAGTGCAGGAGACTTTGGTGAGGGTGAGGAGGCGGCCTGGGAGCAGGCGGCCATGTCCTTCGACGCGGTCATCCGCTTTGCAGAGGGCCAGCCTTGCTTCTCCATGCAGGAGGTGGGGCAGCTGCGCACACTGCGCTCAGTGTTTAGGAGGCAGCGGCAGATGCGGCGGAGGCGTGTGGCTCTCAGGGCCGTGGTCAAAATTGAAGCCCTCCAAGAGTGCCCTAGTGGTCACATGGCCTCAGCTTGTTCTCCTTTGCCCTGTTCATCCACAGCAGATGACTGATGGCTGTCATTGGTTCCTGCCCCTGGCCGCCAGTGCCTGTGGCTCTGTGCTCCCCAACAGTGTGGTCATGTGGCCCAGACTGTCTGCCTGAGATGGGAGAGTGCTCTGGGACAGAGGCATGAGTACCTGCGAGTACGGAGTGTCACTTATCAGAGTGACCCGTTCCCTGTGTGTCCCTGGGAATCAAGGTTTGACTTTATCACCTGTCCCATCATCTGAATGTGAGGAAATATTCCAGAAGGGTTCTGCCTAACCTAAAACAGACCAGAGCCCCACCCTAGCTGGACATGGGGCCAGGCTGGGCTGATTCTTGTCTTGGGTTGGCTGGCTGAGCCTTGCTGTATCACAGAGTAGAGATACCTGTCTGTCCAAGTGGAGAAAAGCTGCCCTCCAGTTCGACGGGTGGCAGTACCTACCAACACCAGACAGGCTGCCATATGTCCCAAGTTCCAGGGTCCACCTCTCCTGTCCCTCAGAAGGCCCGGTCTGCAGGGCTGATGGCTGTCCCTGTGTTGGCTGGACCCCCAGCACAGTGCCTGAGGGCAGATAGCCAAGGGCTGGGACTCAGATCATGGCTGTGTCAGCAAGCCTCGCTCGCAGCTGTATAGGCAGCATGTCATCCCCTGTGTCTCTACTTCAGTCATAGCCTCACTCAGCAACATGACTCTGAGTCGTTCCCTTGTTGCTAGCACATCATATCCCCGGGGCTCTGACCACAAGGTGTGGGTGGCCCCCCATGTTGAACTGACTTGGCGGAGTTCTTTTCCGTAAAGAAAGTAGGAATGTTTGGTCAGGCCCTGCTCAGTGCCCAGATAGAGGAGCACGGGGCACTGGATTGTGTTTTTAGTGCTTTGGCTTAGAGTCCAAAGTACCGAGTTCCCCAGAGTTTCTCACGGCCTTTACATAAATAAATCTTGATCAGGCATTCAGAAACTAGTCTTAGGTTTGCACATAAGTCACTGAAGACAGTAAAAGAGGCTACTTAGATTTCCAGCAATATTTGTGCTTTTATTCTCAGCCGAGACCACGTCAGTAATACTTTTGGGAAGGGTTGTCAGGACTGGGTGGTTTCATAGAGGCCGGTGGTAGGAGGACGTGATTATCTGCTCCTTGTCTCTAGCAGATTTGTAGCTTCTCCATTTCCACAGCATCACTTGCTGCCTGAAGCTGCGACTCCAGAAGGCTTTTGTCCACGGTGATTAGCCTCCTCTTTCAATGTACATGAAATAGGTTTATTTTTCTACATTCTTTACACTGCTTTGTCCTTGAATTTCATTCCCTTCTTGAATTTACGTCCTGGCAGCTGAATTGGCACATAGTTTTCATTCTAGCTATTTCTTCCACCAGGAGACCCTTGTTCCTGAGGGAAAGCAATTTCTCCTATTTTTACATCTCTCCAAACACAGAGGCGATAGTCATTGCTGACTGCCCTATATCATGGATGTGTGTTTCTTGCTTTAAACGCATGTATGAAAATTGTACAGGTTTGGTTTTTACAGGTTTCATTATTGATTATTTGGACTGTGTTGCTCACATTGCTCCCGTCACTTGTCTGGGATATCATTTTGGAATCGTGTACTTTGTCCCATTTTCTCAGCTCCTCTGCATGGCTGAGCCTGACAGCTGAGACTGGTATTGCAGCTGCTTGAGTTGTCACAGGTTAGATGCCAACAGCCAGGGAGGGCTTCAGCAGCAATAGGATGTGCTGGGTGGGTGGAGCTGGTAGAGCTGGGGGAGGGAGCGGGGTGGGGCAGGCATAGTTCCTGGCTGGCTCTCCTGGGTTCCCCAGGGATGGTCAGCCCATAAGACTGTAACTCCTCAGGACCAGGACTCTTCTCTTACCCCTCACTGCCATGACCTGCTCCTGTCCTGGCCCTTTTGGGGCGATCAGTCACTTGCGTGGCTGGGGTGATGTCTGTCCTTAGGGTGCTCCTCCTTCCAGAGCCAGCTGCAGCGAGGCCTGCTGGAGCCCGACCCTGAGCACAGCTCTCTGTGACTGGGATCCCTTCTGTGTCTCTGAGGAGGGTTCTCATGATGACCAGGACTCAGGCCCTGCTCTTCCTGCAGCTCCCTGCTCTCCCGTGCTTGTGAGGTCTCTCCCTCAGTGTGATGTTTAGCGGGTGTGTGTTCTGCAGGGCCCAGAGCTTGCTTGTCTCTGAGTTGCTGGGCCCAGCTGCCAGGTGAGTGCCTCCTGCCTTCCAGGGCTCTGCAGAGACAGGCTGTGTCCTCTGGATATACCTTGTTCTTTCCTTCCTGACTAGTATCTCAGAAGCTTAAGTTGTCAAATGTTTTAGTTTCAGAATTGTTTTTTCCTATACAGTGTCAGGTGGACCTCACTGTGCCAGGTGCAGGGATGGTGGTACACAGGACCACAACGTCTCTTTGCTTCGCTTCCAGTGGCTACTGAGGACCCTCAGAAAGCCCCGGGCTCTCCAGAGCACAGTGTGAGAATCAAATCTAGTCCAACCTGAATGCCTTCTCCCTTCTCACCTGTGAGCACCAGGCCGAGTGCCCTCCCTGTCTTCTCACAGTGGCCTCAAAGGCAGTAGCCTCAGGTCCCCACTCTCAGGTGGGAACTGGCAGATACTGAGCACTCTCGTTTGATACTTTAGTGGCTTTTCCCATCCCACCAGGAAAGCCACTTTTGACCACTGTGCTCACCTCAAGTGGTACCTCTGATTGCTCAGGACTAAGGGTGTGCACCTGTATCCTATCCCTGTGGCAGGACCCTTGGCCACCATCCATCCCTGGGTGTTGGTACCGCCACACCCTGCCTTCCTCACCAGCAGGTGTCACCAGTGCACTTGTCACGCACCCACAGTTGTCACTATTTAGGACTCTGCGGGTCACTTCCTGGGAGGTCTGTTTGCCAATCTCTATCTTCCTGTCTCTTGATGTTCAAGATGAGTTAGAGGACCCACAGCTTCCTTAGCAGTGCCAGAGCAGGACTCAGCCTCTCTGCTCTTCCTGATAAGTATGAGGAGTCTGACATCCCCAGTGCTGGACACCTTGTAGGTGTCAGTCACTACCTGTTGAATGAATGAGTTGGGCATCATATCCTGGGTGATGCCTGCAGCACTGGAATCTAGGGAAAGGAGATGAACAGAATCTGGTGGGAAAGTTGGAACATTGCGCAGTTGCAGCTTCCCTGGTTTGGGATAGGCAGCCTCTGTCCTGGGCAGCTCCCCATCCCTAGGGGTGGCCAAGCAGAGGCTGTACTCAGAGGGCAGTGTAGATGGAATTCAGGTGTCTGTTTGGAGATGGAATAAGTAGGTAGTCTTTAAGCCCCTTCTATGTTGGAGTTGGTGCCCAGAGCACCTGCTTCCCAGTATTAGGGTGTGCACTGCCTATGCCAACCTAGCTCTCTGTGGGTGCCCCAGGGACTGTCCTGGAAGTCATCTGTCTCAAGCACATGAAGGTGTAGAACAGACCCTGCCCCTCAGCAGTAGTTCCTGTTGGGTGGTGGGGGGGGGGCAGAAAACTTGTGCCTTGGGCCCATATGTGTGTTATTTCCACATAAGCCTCATTCACAGTTAGCCACTGCAGAGCAGATGGGAAGAAGACAGCTCTGGTCACCCCTGCGGCCAGCAGGCTGCAGCACTTGTCTGGTGAATGGAGGGAGGGTAGGCGTGTTCATAGACTCATAAGTGGATGAGGTGATGGAAGAAAAAAGGGTGGAAGGAAGTTGCAGCCCCTGCTCACGATCTCTTCTACTTAGTCTTCCAAGGCTAGGAGGCCAGAGCCAAGGGGGCAGGGGCAGGATTTGAGGCAGGGATGTGCAAAAGGTGCACACTGCTTCCTTTCCTGGGAGGCTGTGGCATGGGGCAGCAAACTTTGGGACAAACTGAGGCCCACCCACACTGCATCTGAGAGGTCCCACCTTAACTGCTCTGTGGGGAGGAGGCTTCCACAGGCACCCCTGTCGGGTTTTCCTGGGACATAAGTGTGCTCATGTGGGGATCAGGGTGTGGAAGTTACAGTGTGGACTGGTGCAGAGTTGTGAGGGCAGCTAGGAGGGGTGGGTGGTGGGCTGGGAGGCAGAGCCTAGGCGGGGCTCCTGAGCTGTCCTCTTACTCAGCTCTACCTGGGTTCCAGGATTCTCTTTCACAGAAGCTGGGTTCTCAGGTACTGCTTTGGGCTCAGTTGCCTGCTGGGAGGGTAGGGGGGCAACTATGAATCCTTGCTCATCTTACCCCTGCTCAGCTCTTGCAAACCCAGGCCTAGCTGTCCCCAGGGCTAGGAGCTACTGTTGTGGCAGCCACCAGCCACTCAGGTTTGGCCACGGGCCTGCTCCCTTGCCCATGTGTACCATGTGTGGACTTGGCTCTGTGCCTCCTCTTTCACACGTTAATCCTCAGGCCTTGCTCCTCTGTTTTCCTTGCAGGGCAGAAACAATGATGTGAAATGAGGTGGGCTCACTACTATTTAGAGGTGAGACTGGGGCCCAGGGAGGGGCAGCTATGTCCGGGCAGAGCCAGGCCTGAGGCTGCCCATTCCTGTCCATTTGGGTGCCTGCTCCAAGTGATTGGCCCTGTGTTTTCCACCATCCATTCTCCTGCCCTCACTCACTGTTAGACCTGGAACATTGCCCTCAACAGTAAAACAGAAGAGTAAAAATCCCCTTTCACCTGCCTTTTTGGGTCCCACTGTTATGTGAGGCCACAAGGCCTCATTTCAGTTCCACAGGTGGTCCCAAACCTCTGAAGTGGCACAACCCCTGCTGCGCCCTGATCTTGAAGGCAGTATGATTGCCTGCCTGCTGAAGCCCCTGCACCCAGGGCAAGTTCCAGGAGGACTGCTGGCCATGACTGGGCCATCCTTTGTAGAGCCTTTCAGCACACGCAGGCTTCACACGCAGACTGGCCAGGAAGCAGGCCATGAGGTCCTCCAAGGCCTTCGATGTCTGGGGGCTATCCAGTCCCAAATAGGTAAGGGTTGTTGGGCCTGCTTAACAGCCAGGGAAACTGAGGTCCAAAGCAGGGAAGGCTTTGCCTGGGTAAGTCTGGACATAGTCTACTTAGGGATCAGGAATCCTGTCCTTATCCCAGCGCACTCCAAACCAAGGTAAGTTCCTAGGCTTGCTACCCTCTTGGGGGCTTGGTTTCCGTATTTCACATGCACGTGGAAGGAAGGGTTGTAGTCTGGGGTGGCCGTGAAGCTCAGAGGCAGGAGCTGCCAGGCTGAGCCAGGACTTTGTACCTGGGCCAGCCTCCTGACCATTGCAGCCCAATGACCCATGAGTCTTGGAGAGAAGAAATATGCTGGGAGTCCTGTCCCCCCATTCTCCCTATGTCTCACCCCTACAATGTGAGCACATATGTGTGTGCTGCCCACAAGCAGCAGAATTCTGTTTCATGAAACTGGGGGCTTCAAGGGTGTAGCAGTGACCTCACCAGAGGAGCTGGCAATTCCTGGGCCCTTCTCAGAGGCCCTACAGAGATGTATTGGAGAATGTCTGCTATATAGTACCACTTTTAGGGCCCCTCTGGCCCCACCAGAGCTCTCAAGGATGGAGGTGTTAGTAAGTCCATGTCTTCCATCCCCATGACCGTGGTGTTGTGGATTGCATTTTGTGTCCTAAAATTCATATGTTGAAACCCTGACCCTCAACAAGTTGGTATTGGGAGATAGGGCCTTTGGGTAGTGATTTAGTTAGATGAGGTCCTGAGTATGGGACCCTGTGATAAGAGTGAATCCTTATAAGAAGAGGAGACTAGAGCTTACTTGTGCCATGTTATGTACAACCAGAAGACAGCTGTCTGCAGACCAGGAAGAGAGCCCTCAGCGACACCAGGTCTGCCAATGCTTTAGTGTTGGACTTTCAGCCCCCAGAACTGTGAGAAATTAATTTCTGTTGTTTAAGCTACCCAGTTTGTGATATTTTGTTGTAACAGCCCAAACTGACTAAGGTAGTAAGGCGAGAACAACCTGCTCCAGGTTCAGGCAGCCCTGCCACCTCCCTCCCAACCCAATGCCAGTCATGGTCCAGGCACCCCGGGGGACTTGAGATGGGTAAGAAATGCCCCTGTCTTTAAGACTCACCTGGTCTGTTGGGGGAAGCAGACCCACAAACCCACCGTGATCCTGGGGGACCCACACTGTTCCCCACCCGGTGGCTATGATAGGAAGGCCCTAGATAGAATTGTGTACACAGTACACAATTTAGTTCTTGTACACATACAAGTTGAGGAGGATGATCCAGGTTGGTGAAGCAGCTTAACTGGTAGAGCCAGGCTCCTGCCACACATGACTCGAGTTTCAAGATGTTTCAGGATAGCTGCTCCAACCCCCACCACTATGTCTTGCTTCTGGAATGCATACCACTTTCTCTGAGCATCGCCTTGGAGTGCACACACTATTTTCTGCTCCTGTCCCTTGGGCCAGAGGTTCTGGTCACGAACACAACTAGCTGCAAGGAGGGCTGAGCAGCATGACTGTGGAAGATCAGAGAGTACATACAGGACATGTTTATCAGTGAGATCCAGCCCGGGCCTCGTGCCTTCATGCCTTCTCCAGTGGTCACGTTCTTGGGTTTCAGCCCCCCACCTCTGTAGGGGACATGTAGACATTTACAAAGAGAGCTGAGGGGGTCAGGGATGGGGCAAGCAATAACATTTAGTGGACCTCAGCTTTGGGGATGGGGTTTCCCCACCCCCCACATTGTGGAACATTCAGCTTCTGAAGTTAGGGTATCACTCAGAGATGGGACATTGTCCCTGCCACCAACAACAGAGCTGTGGCTCACAGGAGCAGGTCATAGAACAAAAAGCTCCAAGTCCTTCCCCACAGGAACTGAATTCATTTATAACAGTATGAAGTTTAAGTCTAAGGGTACTCTCAAAACCTTTGAAAGTGGTGGAGAAAAGGAACTGGGGTAAATTGATACATTTACTAGAGATTTAGGCTAAACAGTCGTCTGGCTAGGGGGTCAGAAAAAAATTTCAAACAAAGGACTAGACCTTCAAAGGATCCCAAATTTGATTAGATTTATATATGAGGCAATTTATGCCCAGGGCATTATTCAAAACTATAGAGTAATCAGCTGACAATTAGGGAGCCTAACAGTTGTGTGTTGTCAGGGGAAATAGTCAAAGAGAGCTTTACAATACTCTTTCAAACCATAGCCATCCAGGGTAACTGGGCATACCAAAGGCTGTGCCCATGCCCCAGGACAAATGTGAGACTCAATCAGAGGCTACAAGGGGAGGGGGAAATAGACACCACTAAAATAATCCACCCAATCACCAAGCAAAGTAAATAAGAAAATAGTAAATCCCAGATTGAGGAGATAGCCAGTACCTAGAATTACAATATATTATCTAAGAGGTCCACTTTCCAACAAATAGTTATGAGATATTCAAAGAAAGAGGAAAGTATGGCCCACACACTGGGGAAAAAAGAAGGCAACAGAAAATGCCTATGAGAGCGAGATGTTGGATTTGACAGAAAAAGAATTCAAAGTGGCCATAGTATATTGGAACAACTAAAGGACACTACAATTAAAGAACTAAAGGGGGGGGGGAAGTAAAGGAAGGTATGAGCCAATATTGCATCAAATAGAGAATAAGAAGAAAAAATTATTTTTTCAATAAACCAAATGAAAATTTTAGAGTTGAAAAGTACAAAAACTGAAATTAAAAATTTACTAGAAGAGCTCAACAGTAGATTTGAGCTGGCAGAAGAAAGAATTAGCAAATTTGAGGATAGATTGATAGAAATTATACAATGCAAAGAATAGAGAGTAAAAAGAATGAAGAAAACTAGAGTCAGAGAAATGTGGGGGACCACCAAGCACACCAATGTACAGTTAATGGAAGAACCAGGGAAGGAGGGAGAGAGGAAGCAGGAGAAACAATGTGTAAATATTGGCCAAAAAATCCCCAAGTATATTGAAAAATAGTAATCTATAAATCCAGGAGGCTCAGTGAAGTCCAAGTCGGATAGGCACAAAGAAATCCACAAATAGACACATCGAGTAAAATTGCTGGAAGCCAAAGAAAATCTTGGAAACAGAGAAAAATGATTCATCACTTACAAAGGAGCCCCAATAAGATCAACAACTGACTTTTCATCAGAAACAATGAGGACTAGAAGACAGAGGGATAACATATTCAAAGTGCTAGTATCAAGAATCCTATATCCAGCAAAGCTAGCTTTCAAAAATGAAGACAATTTGAACATGATTCCAGGTACTGTCTACAAAAAATAAGAGAATTTGTTGGGAGCAGGCCTACCTTACAAGGAATACTAAAGGAAATTGTAACCACCAGACATAGAGCTAAGAGGTTGTAAGTTATGCAGGAAGAGCATGCACAGAAAACTGCAACCCTAAATAACATCCACAATTAAAGTTTTGACCCCATTTAGGGAGCTAAAAGATTAGGACATGGCCAGAACCCAAGTGCCAGAACAGTTTCAAAAGTGAGAGTCCATTGTCTAGGAATATCAGTTATCAGACCATTCCTCATGCTTTACCATAAATAGTCTTGTTTGAAGTCCTTCCAATCAAAACCTGCCCTGCCAGCACTTCTGCATACCAACTTGTCTTCCCTAATCCATAAAACTTGCCCCACACTCCAGACTGGGGAGAGAGACTTGAGTCCTGCTCGTTATGTCCTTGCTCATTGACTCCCAGTAAAGCCTTTCTTTCCTCAAAAGCTGGTGCCATGATATTGGTTTCCATATGCATAGGAAAGTAAGCCCATTGCCCAGTAACAATTCTGGCACCCCAGATGGGACAAAGCCTGCTCAGGGTACTGTAGCCCCTTGGCAGGGTGCAGGCCACTTTCACCAACCCTGAGTGGCCATCTAGACTGGTTTGTCTAGAGCCTGGGCTGTGAGGCCCCTGTGTCTCCACTGTGGTGCTTCAGGCCTCTT